GCTTAACCACTGAGCCACGTCCCCAGAACTTTTTATATTTTATTTAGCGACCGGGTCTCACTAAGCTGCTTATGGCATCACTAATTTGCTGAGGCTGACTTTGAACTTGAGATCCTTCTGCCTCAGCTTCTCAGGCTGTTGGGATTATAGGCATGTGCACTATGCCCGGCTGGTGTGTGCATTATTCTTAGGCCAGGATACTGCAGACATTGATGAGTTCAGGAGAAAAACTGATGGGAAATTGCTTCTAATTTTTCATATTATTCCCTATGGTAAATTCAAGTGTCATTCACATCCCTGGGTCAAAGCCAAAACCTTCTTAGGTCCACATCATTACTAGCCTTGAGGGGCCTTCACACTCCATTGATGGGTGTGCCTTTTCTTCTTTGGTTGGCCAGCAAAGATTGGAATCTTTCAAAAGTATATATATATATATATATATATATATATATATATATATATATATATATATATATATATATATAAAACTAAGGGTGAAAAAAAATGATAGCTAAGAAAGCACCAAAGAGAGTGGATTTACAGATCATGTGCATTTAACTTAGTTTCAGCATTTGATAAGGATATTGACTTGGATTTTCCTCCTTGTGATGGTTAGTTTTATGAGTCCATTTGGCTGGATTATGGTGCTCAGTTATTTGGTCAAACACTAGCCTAGTTGCAAAGGTATTTTTTAAGATATGACTAACATTTAAATGGGCAGACTTTGAGAAAAGCAGATTACTCTCCATCATGTGGATGGACCTCATCCAACAGTTGAAGGTCTTAAGAGAAAAGAGAGAGATTTCTCAGAAAAGAAGAAATTCTGCCTCAGACTAGAACTGTAGCATAAACACTTGCTAGAATTCCCAGGCTGTCAGCCTGTCCTGAAGATTTCAGACTTGCTAGCACCCACAATTGCATGATCCAGTTCCACAAAATCTTTTCCTCTCTTTTCTGTCTCTCTCTCTCTACACACACACACACACACACACACACTCACTCACTCACACACCCTATTGGTCTATTGATTCTCTTTCTTAGGAAAACCCTAATACCCTTAAGACCAGTTGGGGATAGATGTGCCTGGACTTCTCTGTTCACCCTGCCAGTTCTGCTGAACACTTTTTCCCACTATGCTTTCCTGGCTTCATGCTGGTAATAGACCTTCCTGGGTCTGTGACTTCTGCCTTCCCTACCTTCTACCTGTCCTTCTCTGTTGTCTCTGTCTTCTGTGCTCTTGGCTCTAGGTCCAAGGGGTATCTTTCCTACTAGGCCCTAAACACTTTTTGGTGTGATTTTTTTTTTCTTTTTCTGATACTGAGGATGGAACCCAGGGATAATTTACTCCTGAGCTACAACCCCAGCCCTTTTGGGGTTAGGATCTTGCTAAATTGCCAAGGCTGACCTTGAACTGCCTCAGCCTCCCAAGTTGCTGGGATTATAGGTATGTTCCACTGCACCCAGCTCCTTGGCCAGGCTTTCACCAATCCATCAACTAATGTGATAGCCAACTGGGTCCTGTCTGTGGCCTCAGCACAGGGAACCTTAGCTTGATCTGCTTTTCTCCGCTAAATTCCATTTACCTGTGGAATCTTAACTGGCTGGTCTTGCTTTGGGGAAAAACCTTGATTCGTCTCCTGGGTTCACAGGTCAGCATCTGTGCCTAGTTTCCTAAGGGCTTAACTCTTCAACACCAGCTTTCATTTCTGAAACTATGTGTATTAATTAAACTTCTTTCCACAGCCTTATGGAAACCCTCATCTCTTCCTGCCTGCAGGTCCTAATGGACGGCCTATGAAAGAAGGAAGCACAGTTAATTTTCTCTTTCTTCACTTACCTTTTGTAATATTCATTGAGTCTGTTACATTCATTATCTTATTTAACTTTTACAAAAATCTTATTTGATACATATCCAATATATTTGATTATTACCTCATTTGAAAGATTTGAAAGTTGATGCACCAAGAGTTTATGTAACTTTCTTCAGACCACACAGTTTGAAAATGAAATTTGACCTGGGGCAATCTGAACCCATAGCCTGGGCTCTTAGCCAGGGACACCTGAAACCCAGCAAGGAGAAAAGAATCAGGGGCGAGGAATAAAGACGAGGCAGGGATGCAAAGCAATCCCAGGAATAAGGTGAATATAATAACATGCAGCATAAAATCCTGTATGTGAGCCAGGGATGGGGCACACATTGGTTCTAAGCTTATAGCAGCCAATGCAAACAGGTAGGCGCTGCCTCTGTCTTTCGGCTCCTGCTGTCAATGTGATTGAGCATGGCTTACCAGCACCCTCCCTCCCTAAATTCTCTTTAGTGACTTTTTATACAGGTTTTACCCTTGAGTTATAGATCCCTGCTCTCTGAGATTCTTATTGCATCAATTTGGCAAAATTATTTTGTATTTATGGTAAAAATGATAATCTAATTTCCTCTAAGAAGGAGGATGAGTCTTTCATGGAATATGGATTTGGTGCTGATATGAGATCATGAACTCCTGGGAAGTTGAGTTCTGAATCCTGTAGGACTCAGCTTCTGCTCCCTTTATCCGCCTAACCATGCCTAGTCTAGTGTTGTGCTCACGGTGACTGGTGAACAGATATTGATTGTGTTGAACAAATATGAATATAAATAAATGCTGAACATACTCGTATAGCACCTACTTGCTACATGAGGAAGGATTCACTTTGGGGGAGGACTAGTCAGTACTAAATTGTTTTAGAACAAAGAAAAGGCAGGGAATAAGAATGTGGCTCAGTGGTAGAACATTTACCTGGCACATGTGAGGCCCCGGGTTCAATCTTCAGAAATGCAAAAAATAAAAAAAAAAAATAAAAAACAAAGAAAAAGCAGTATTGATTGGGTAGTGGAAAAAGCGTGGGATCTGAACTCTGGAGTCTGACATTGATGGTGCTGCTATTTATTAACTGTGTGATTTTTAGTAAAGTCCTTAACCTCTAAGGAATGCTTTTGTCATAGGTGAGAAGCCTACAAGGGAGTATGTGCAGGGCCTGGCATTTTGTAGATGGTTCACAGGTTCTGTTCCTTTAATCATTTGCTCATTCTGAGCATGCTCACTGGGTTTCTTTGGTAGGTCAGGCACTGCACTCTGTCCCAGGAATACAGCAGTGAACAGAACAGCTCAGGCACCTGGTGGATCCCCTTCTGATCTTTCTCTTTCTTTCCTGAGGATGGTAGTTCCTGCAGTAGGTATTTAATAATAATATGGTATCCCAAGTCCAAGGTGCTGAGAGAAGTGGCAAGAAGATCTATTGGGGGACACTTGGTGGTGTCAAGATCCCCATGCAGAGGAAAGGGATCCTGTGACCCAGAAGGCTCCTCTTGCAAAACCAGTGTCTGTCAGGTAATGACAGAGACTGGTCTCATCTGGCTGCCCATACACAGTATGAATATGGCCATGAACACACTGGAGCCACATTATTGCTTCTGAGAAATGATTGCACCTTCTTCACAGTGGAATAGAACCCCTCTAGTGCTCTAGGTCTGCTTTCCAGACAGGAATGGAGGATGATTTAATGTTAATAAACCAGGGGCGAGAGCCCAGATTCTTCTTGCTACTGAAAACAATGCACTAATCCCAGACAGGCCTCAGCCCTGTGCTCTTCCCTCCTCCTCAGGGTATTTTGTTTGCATTTTTCTCACTTTCAGAACCAGCATCTGCATTCCTCCTCTCTCTCCAGGGAGAGGGAGATAGAGCGTGAGAGAAAGCGCGCACACACACATGTGGTACATGGGGAACATACAAATGCCATGAACTCAGAAGATGCTACATAGGGACTGAAAAATGTTCACCAGAATTATTTCCTCGAACTGAAAATCCTACAGCTCTCAACCACACCGTATTTATCAACATGCACTTGTTGGAATGCTTTTGTCTCAGGCCCCCTTCTTGGGTGTGTTGGCCATTCACATCAGACTGGGGATCTCCTTGAGAGCAGGTCTGTTTTGCCTTCAGACTGAGGCCCTGAGGGCAAGGCTGCACTTCCTCCTTCAGGAGACTCTACTCTTGGCACCAGTTGCTGGCTATGGTCCCAGAAAGTCTCCTAGTCCCCATTGTCAGGAAGAGGAGGACCAGCCATTTCTGTGCACACTTAGCTGAGATGTCGGGTGGATGGGCTCTTGAACTATTCTCTATTTGTCTGCTACTCTAAGGGCAGGAGTGCCACCCACACACCTTGGAATCTCAGAAAAATAGAGAAATGGAGGGACATGGAGGAAGAGCACGTGGCATCCTCAAGTTGGAGGAGCCCAAGGGTTGGGGAATCACATGATCCCTTCCCCGTCTCTAAGCCTCATTGCATTTCTGTGAAATTTCTCCTCCCTCTGGGCTTCATTTTCTCCCCCAGGCCACGGCTGCCCTCTTCCATTTAGATCTACTGTGTTGGATCTGAAATACACAGACTGGTATTTTTCCTCTGATTCACCTTTAATCCTTCAACTGAAAAAACAAAAACAAACAAACAAAAAAAACAAAATCCTTCTCAGCACCTGGCTGAAGCATTCCTTTTCCAGGATCCATGAGGTGGATCCAGGATTTCACCCCATGGAAAGGGCGGCGAGGGCAAGGCTGATGCCTTCCTCATTTACTATTTCAGCCCCTGCACTCACCATGGTGCCAGGCCATGCTTAGCAGAGGTTTGGAACAAATGCATGAGTGCACTTTTTGTGAAGGGCTAGCGGTGGATGTCCTCCTTCTTCTGTGATCTCATTTCACTCTGGGAAGGGGCCTCAACCCTTGGAGTCTGCAGTAGCAGTCTCTCCTGGAGGAAAGCTGTATTCTGGGGTCCTGGGACTAGGGGGCAGTGCTCACCCACGGTACGTGTGTGTGTGTGTGTGTGTGTGTGTGTGTGTGTTGAGGACTGGACATTAATAAGCTCTAGCTCCAGGAAGAATTCAAAAACTTCCTCAAAACAACTTAGTTCATCTTTCTGTGAGTACTCTGTTTCAATTTAAGGCCCATGAAGTTATTCTGCCCATATGCTGCCAAACAACCATGTTTATTTAAAGATCTAAGTTTTTTTTTTTTATCCAGTAAACTTTATTTATATATAACAACAGTACAAATTGTGTCCTTGGCTTGCAAAATAGGAGTGTTTCATATTTACAATAGGTACACGATAATATATTAGAATAACAAAAAAATTCCATTTTATTGGAACATTTTAAATACTTAATTTTCTTATTATTCCACAACACCTGTAAAAACAACAAAACCAGACAACCATCATTGTATTTTCTTAAAAATAGATATAATACAGATTCCAGTGTGTCAAGGGGAGTGGGTCTGAGTTGGAGGAGCAGGGGGCGGAAAGACAGGTGGGTTCTGGTCCCTAGTCCTGCGGTGTAAAGGGCTTGTCACTTCTTTCCCTGTCTGCTCAGGAACATCTGTTGGGTTTGATGGGGACCCTGCCCCATTATGCTCTCCACCTGTGATACCAATATGGAGGACAAACAAAGTCAGAGTGAGGACCTTGACTGAGCTTTGGAAGAAGTGTCCCACCTTCCTTCAGCTGGGGCAGTGGGCAGCAGGCTGCATGGCAGCTCAGAGGACATGGCTCCATGGGGAGAGAGAGCTTTGCTGTGGGGAGCAGCGAGATGTGGTGGCCATAATGGCCAAGGAATCTCCAGTTTGCTTACTGGGCAGAGGCCCTGTCTTACCAGCAGAGGTCTTGATGGCCTCTCAGGACATTCCCTAGGACTAGTTTGAATGTACCAAGAGTGAAACTTCATCCTTCATTTCCGGGCATCCATCTCTGAGCCCCAGATGCTAAAACTTCACTCTGGGGAAACCAGGAGAAAGATAAAGATGGGGAAAAGAGACTGTGGAGTTATGAAAAGAATGCCACTGTTCTCTCTCACCAAGCACATTCCTGAGATGGGGCATTAGAAGGCCTTGAACTTCACCTCCCAAGTCCCCTGACCCCCTGGGATCGGCTCCCACAGCCCTGTGACCATGAGGCCACTTTACATGTTCTCACCCACAGAGCCCTCTGCATCTCAATTCTTCCTTGTGTCCAGGTCCCAGGAGTCCAACCATGACACAGCGTGGCTAGGAAAAACAAAAGGGCCTCAGGAGGTGTGGGTGGGCTCAGTGTTTCCAGGCAGCAGGTAATAGGGACAGGTGTGTGACGACTGGGATACTCCTGAAGATTGATCAGCCAGGGGCTGGCCAACATTCTTTGCTTGTTCGGTCCATGCCATTTTATAGTCTTTGCACACCCCTGCCCCCCATTGCTTCTGCTTTGTGCTCAGCAGGTCCAGAGGCCTTGATTGCTATTTCTTGTCCTCATTTGGTGGAATTGAGGGAAGGTCAGGAGCTCAAGCAGCAGGGGAGGTGCCACTAGAAGAGCCAGTGGCAGTAGAAAAGAGAGCAGCTCTCAGTGCTGGGGGAACGTCCCCAGGCTAAGGTAAGGCAGCTGGGTGGGTCGCTTTCTTCCCTCACTGCATCCCCTTTTGTATGCAAATGGCGCCCTCTGCTAGTCGGGGGAGACCTGTGCCTGCTTCTTGGTGGCAGGAACAGGCAGCCCAAAGAATATACATTTGCTAGAAGGACCTTCTTGGTCTTGCTCATGGCTGCTTTCCATCACCTAGAGCAGTGCCTGGCAGATAGATGCTGCTCAAGATTCCTCAAACGAATGGATGCAGGAATGGTTACCTCCCTCCAGTGAGGTTCACAGCTCATTCATGCTTTAAATGACTGATCTGTGTAAGGAGAGGCGGATCAGAAATGGTTTTGAGAGACGTGCTATGCAAAGAGGTAGGACAGCCAACACAGAAGCACCTGACCCATGCAGCGGGTGGGAGGTGGCAATAGGGTCCAGCCGGAGGGATCTGGTCCCCATCTTATCCATTGGCATCCTCTGTCTAGCCAAACCTTTCTGGAGTCCTGTTCCTTTTCCAGAGAATTGTCTTGGGCAGATCAATGAAACAAAGCAGAGTTGGATAGACTAAAGAGAGAGACTTCCTGTCTTCGCCCAAAATGGATGGCTTCTAATAGGGAGGAGCTGTGGCTTTAATACTTTTTTCACGAGACAAAAATTGGATAATAGCAAGAAGAGAGGTCACCCAACTCCCTCTCCTCCCCAGTTCAAGGGTGTGGACTCCATAGGTTCTTGGTGGTTTAAAGCAAGGAGTTGGTGGAGGAGGTGTTAGTGAGAAGCTAGAACTGAGTCAAAGTTCCACAACAATTTGCCCTCGTGGTTGGCCTGTGTCCAACTGAGTTTTCCTTTTTCTTAATTGTCTCCTTAAGGACATTTCTCTGCCATTTCCTTTGCAAGCTCAAATTCCCCAATCCTCTCATGGAATCCTGAGAATTGTGGCCAGGCCACTCACAGCTGGCCCTGGCTTCTTTCTTCACCCCTCTCCAGCCAGGTACCCCCCCCACCAATTCTCCACACTCTCCACACACCTTCAAGGATGCATCCCAGGTGCAGTGAGTGGTTGCCCAGAGTGGCTGCTGGGAGACACCAGGTAGATGCACAGAAGTGAGGGTTGGGTAAGATACTGTTCAACGAGAAATCTGACTTTCTTTTACTTCTTGGGGGTAACAAAGACCTAGTTGCTAGCTTGAATAGTAGTGCCATCAGGAAACCATTCAAACGGAGCTCAGCAGTGAAATCAGGGTGGGATGGAATTTTTCATGGGCTGTACAATGTCTCCTGCTCACATTCTTCTTGCCCATATCTCTTCTCCTTCCATTTCCATAAATTATGGGCTCTGAGCTGATAAGCTTTGGGTGCTGTGAAGAGCAAACACTTTGGCTTAGCGTGGAAGGGCAGTCATTAGTATTTCTTTCAGGCTATTAATAGGGCCCCAAGAAATTTTAACAGAAGTAGATTATCAGAAGAAAGTGGCCTTGGCATGGCTGGTTGTGAATTATAATGAAAACAGCAAGTTTCCTGAGTGTTTTGCTGAATGCTTTTCTCTTCCCATTTGTCAGCTGCATTCAGGCAAGAAACTGGAGCTGAAGAGACCAGGCGATGTCCGCTGTGTGCTTAGACAGCGATCCAAAGCCACACACCCAGGATGGAAGCCAGCTCTCTGAGCTCTCTTCCCCCAGCCCTTTCCTGGGAATCACATGTGGTCAGCAGAGCCTTTGGAAACTGGAATTGCCTGGAGGTATAGCAGGGCACAGAGAAGCTGGGGCCCAGAGTTAATGACAGAGGAAATGACTCTGGTCTATCTCTCTTGGGGCAGCTGGTCCAGTTTCCCAACATTGCAATCTGGGATTCCTGACCCCTTGAAGAGCAAAAGGTAGGAAGGGGAGAGTGTTGCTCTCCTGCCTCTTCCTCTCCATCCTGGGCCTTTCTCTTGCAAGGTTGCCTGCAGAGAAGTTGGATCTATGCCAAGGTGGGAGGCCTGGGCTTCTTGATGGCTACTCCAGTCACCAATGTCCTGTTACCACAGAGCTGTCTTCCTCTGGGTAATTTCCACTAGTTTTTTTGGGTGGCTCTGGACCTAAGCATGAAGCTTTAGTCTCTGTTGGAAAATTGCACTCAGAATATCTGGCTGTCCATGGTTTTAGGTGTCCACAGGAGAGAGAATAGGAATGGAGCCCATGGAGAAACCATCTGCTTGTCCTTCCAACACACATGTCCATGAGAGGCAGAAGACAGCAACGTGGGGATGTTGCAGTCATTTCTATTGAAGCAGGTGTGGTAAGCCCACGTGGCCAGGAGCTTCCGAATATGTCCGCATATGACCGAAGGGTTGTCTCCCCTCTCCAGGCACGAGAGAATGAAAGAAAGTGTAACAATAAATACCGAAGCTTCTTAAACCTATGCTCTTCAAGTATTGCTTGCTGTAAACAGTGTTTGATTTTTGCTTTCTGTTTAATTGCCAGAAACCACCAGATGATTGGGATGGAATCCAGTGCCAAACACCTGTGTCCTCAATTCAATTCCCAAAGGGTACCATCTGGAGGCCTGCTCTGCACACCCTCCAAGCCATCCGTTCCCCAGGGTGCCTGGGTTGTTGCAGGGACTGATGTAGGGCAGAGCCGCTCAGCATCCTCAGGGAGGCCAGGTGTCTGGTCTGGGAGAAGCCGACCTTTCCCACTTCCCATATTAACTTTAGGAAAACCAAAAGGAAAAGAACCCAAGGCCAGATCCTTATTTGTTGAGGGTTAGGATTAAATAAACCAAAAACAGTAGCAAAAAGCATTGGTACGATACAGATACCGCCCTCCTCTCAAGAGATGAGAATCCGCAGGTGTGTGGTAGGTAAAGCTCAGCTTCCTGCCAGCCAGGCGCAGCCACGGGATGGCTTTGCAGTTCTGTGCAAAGTTCTGCGGTCCCCATGCTCTTCTGGCCTCCGGGAGGACTACCGGTTGTTCTGGCCTCTCCGTTTGCGAAGTGTTTGGTTTGAACTTGTGCTCATTCATTCTCCTCTTCCTCTTTCTATTTTTTATTTTTTTGTGTTTTCATCACAGGAAAGGAGACCATTTTCCCGCTCAGTTTCTCTCAGCATCTCTTTGCAGGCTTCTCCTGACATTCAGAAAGAGGAGTTACATGAAGAAGGAGAGAGACGAGGGGACAGACAGGGGCAGAAATCAGAATTAAACAAAAGTTGGACGGGATGAACAGGGCAGCTTTTTGTTTTGTTTTATTTCTGTTTTTTTTTTTTTTTTTCCGTTTTTTCTTAAAAAAAATTAAATAAAGTTCTCATTATTTCCCCAATATACATCAAGTGAGTTTTCATGCAAAGCAGCAGTTATGGAGGCAGGACTGTCCCCGCTCCAGCTTGAAGAGCCACCTTCTCCTGGCCGGCCCTCGTGTCTTGTTCTGGCTGTGGATGAATGGTGCCCTCGGTCTTTCCTGGCAGGAACTGGCTGTGAGGAAACCTGCTGGCATCAGGAGAGGGGCCCTCCCCTCTTCCCGGGGTGGGATCTCAGGGGCTGCCAGCTCTTGGGCCTGATCCCCTTTACTGTCCTTCCTTCTGAGACTCCAGCGTGACAGCTTGTGTGGGTCCATCTTCCCAGGAATTCGGTCCCCTCCTCTCAGCTCTCAATGGACATGGCACTAATGAGCTGCTCCACCTTGTAAGCCAGCCGCTGCCGCCGGGCCTGCTCGTCCTGCTCTAGCGCCCCAATGAGCTGAGGGACAGAACAAAGGAGAATGATATCAAGACTCAGCATAAAACACACCACTTCCTAGAGTTCTCCACCCTTCGCCCATCCACCTAGCTTTCCATTCTGCCTTAATGAACAGAACCTTAAATAATTGAAATGATTAATGGAATGAATACATAGGCAGTCATGCTTTGCTCAGCGACAAGCATACTTTCTGAGAAGTTGGAGTGGTTTGTTGCGTTTTGTCATCATGCAAACATCCTAGAGTGTACGCATGCAAACATGAGATCAAGCATAAGAGAAAAGGTTGCCATCAAGAGATGTGCTGTATAATGTCGCTGCTCGTGTGACGTGGTACAGTGTTACACTGTAAACTTTTGGAGCGGGGAGTGAGGGATATGGGGGATTGAACTCAGGGGCACTCAAACACTGAGCCACATCTCCAGCCCTATTTTGTATTTTATTTAGAGACAGAGTCTCACTAAGTTGCTTTAGCACCTTCCTTTTGCTGAGGCTGGCTTTGAACTTGAGATTCTCCTGCCTCTGCCTCCCATGCTGCTGGGATTACAGGTGTGTACCACAGCACGTAAACGTTTTAAGTAGAAGAAATGTACTCTAAAATTATGATATAATATAAATTATGATGTAACACAATTGTTTACTATCAATTATTACATAATGTACCTAATGGCATGCACTATATTTTTATACGACTGGCAGCGCAGTAGGGTTGTTTATACCGACATCCCTGCAAATTACACCTGGGCAATGCTTCATGGCATTAGGATGCAATGAGGCCACAGAGGGATTTTTAGCTTCCATTAAAATCTCTTGGGATCACTATCATACATGTGATTGGTTGATAGAAAGGTCATCACACAGTGGGTGAATGTATATAAGCGTACATTTATAGATGCACATGAATAAATATATGTATGTCCATATATATAAAGTGTTTCATATAATATTTGGCATATAGGGCAAATAGGAAGCATTATGTGTTAATTATTATTATTATTATTATTATTATTATTATTAATACTCTTGCTGCTGCTTCTTTCAGGTTCAATGTTAATGAATGACTTCAATCTCCCTAAGCATCCTAACCTCTATTTATGTTAAGGTCCACCTGTCTTTCTGCAATGTGACTGACAGGATCTGCCTAAGAGCAAAATACTTTGATTCATTGTTTAAGAAAGAATGAAATTCACCATACAACACTTTGAATTGGAAAACAATTCAATTATTAAAAGTGCTATTTATTGTGCTAACAATGACTGAAAGACAATGATGTGTACATAAGCAAGTGTTCAGTGAATCAGCAGAGGTTAGGCTGCCTTATAAAGGAATGACGATGATTTTGAGCTTATGGGCTTTTTGACTCTGTGAGCACGTTTTGTAAATTACCCTCTATTGTTATTTAAGGACTGAGTCAAGCTTCCTGCTTAACGGCCTTGCTTCCTGCAATGTGGGTTTCTGACCCTTCTAGGGCCCTGTCTTACCTCCTCACTATACTTGCTGACATAAGAGTAGATCTCATTGAGGGCGCTCAGCATGTTGAACTCCACGGCGTGCAGGCGTGACTGCTCCGCGAGGTAGGCGTTCATGTCCTGGTCGCTGATGGCGGGGAGCTTGGCAATGTCTGCATAGTATCTGCCATAGATAAGACAAGGTCCTTGATGGGGACTCAGCAAAATTTGTCCACACCAAACCTGGCCCTGGGGCCCCTGATAGCATTAGGTGTCTCCAGTTGTTCCTGTCTTCCCATGTCTCCTCTGATGTGTCTTCTGCTGCCCCTGGCCTCAAGTTGAGGCTGACGCCTACGGCCAGAGTCTCCAAGAGACACCGCCCAGCTGAGCACTCTTAGCCTCAGTGCCCAGCAGAAAAGCCAAGACTCTGGCCATACTTCTCATGTTCAAATCCCATCTCTGCTTTCTGCTCGCTGGTCATCTTGGGCAACTTCTCTATGCCACAGATAACAATAATGGGGATAATAATAGCTACTTTCCAAGTCTATTGAACATTTGAATGAGATGATACCTACAAAATCCTTATCACACAATGCAGGGTGCTTAGCAAGAACTCCATGAATGGTAATTAGGATGATAACAATCAGACCTCCAAGGGCGCAAAGCCACCCTTCCTCCCCACAGCAGGAAGTTTGGAAGAAGGAGGGGACCTAGAAGTCCTGAAGGGATCGCAAGTAGAGCGTCCTCATTGATGCCACAGGGCAGGCAGTGCGGCAGAGAGACCACGCCGGCCTGTCCTGAGGAGCTACTGACCTCTCCACCCAGCTCTTGTAGCTGGGGATGTCCTTGGCATAGAGCAGCTTGTTGGAGGGGGAGTCCTTGCCCAGCCGGTGCTCTGACGTGGAGCAGGAGTCCATGAAGGTCTGGGCCACCACAGAGAGGCAGGCGTCCGTGATGCTGCCCTTGTGGATGTCAAATACAAACTGGGGGTTCTTGATGACGTTCACCCAGAAGCGCAGAGGGAGGCTGTGGGAAAAGGCAGAGCACACCTGAGAACGCACTTTGGCCGTGACCTTGATGCCGTCCACTAAAATTCCTCCCCTCACCCCCAAATGTCAAATGACCTATCCAAAAGGCAAGCGGATGAAATCAGGAAAAATGGACCTCGCTGGGGCTGCACATTCAGCCCAAGCTGTTTCTGACCCTGGGAGAAAAGGCGAGGGGCGTTGTACCTTAACAGGGCACTGACCCTGTTCCCTGACAACTGAGGAGTGGGCGTGGCTGGACCCGGTTCCCTCTTGGCAGGCTTTTCTGAAGGCTTCCGTGCCCCAAGGGAAGCCCGAGTACACAGGACAGCATGATTTTCTCAGGGCTTCAAACAAAGCCACCAGGCTCCTAGAGTCCCCTCACAGTGCTGGTGGCCATTGTGTGCAAGGATGCAGCCGGCAGCCCCAGGCACTGCCTGAGAGCGGGCACAAAGGGCACCACCTGCCCTCCCCGCCCAGGCCGGCTGCTGGAGCTGCTTCCCAGGGCTGGCCTGCCTGGCTGGGCCGAGGAATGGGCTCCCCTGGGGGACATTCTTTCACGACTCTCCCCAGGGCTTTCTTGTGTCTGGGCAGGGGCAGAGGGAGGAGAGGAGGCCATTGTTGGCACCCTGGGAATGGCTTACTGTAGCACAGAGCTTTTCCCACCCCAAGAGGAACCCATCAGTAGTTAGGAGACTTCCTTCTGCGATTCAGGAATTTATAAGCAGAGGGGAATGAGCTTTCCCTGCTCCTGGGGCCATAAGGCGGATAAGCCCATTTACCCTCCTTCAAAACCAGAACAGCTGCTGTTTTGCCTCTTTCTCAACTCTGCCTTCTCTTCCAGCTGCCTTCCGGCCTTAACTCTTTTGGTGCCTGTGTGGAGTGAGCCCTGTCCCCAGGCTTGTCCTTCTAGCCTGAGTGACATCCCTAGTTTCCCCTCTTTTCCCCTTCTTCATCTTCTCTTGACTCTCTCAGACCCAGATGTTCCCAAATGTCTTCATCGTGCCAGGTCTTGGGAAAGGTCAGCGTTCCCCACCCCAAGCCCTTCCATCAATGTGCAGCAGGATGGCTCACTTTCCCGTGACCCAGGAGAAGCCGCCTCAGCTGAGTCTGGGCAGCTCTTCCGCTTTCCCCTTCTCTCGGCAGCTCTGGGGGCTTCTGATCATCTCTCCTTGGACATTTGCTATTTGGACTTTCCCCACCACAACACCAGGACAGTGCATTTCTATTATTTGGCCTGGCCAGTCTACAGGAGGCACAAAGATGAGAATAACCCAGAACTTTCTCTTGATTTCCCCCAAATCACCCATTCCTGGAATTGAGCTGGGAATCCCCCAAAGCCAAGGAGATAGTGGGGTTCTGCACTGAGAATGCAGACAGAAAGCTGATCCTGGCATAGTGCACTGTGGGCTCCTCACCCCATGGCCATACGGCAATCAAAGCTGCAGACTTAGGAGGACTCAGTGCCCTGGACAAGGAAGGAATATATGGGTTTGGGGTTGGCTCTTTTGGAAGTGTTTTGTTGGTTGCTAGGACTTTTGATTCCCAAATAACAGCCTGGGCCCATCTGTGTCGGCTCTGTTCTCTGAGGAGATCGTTGACTCCAGACAGCTGTGTGGGCGGCCTGCCCAAGCCAAATGCCTGGATCTCCGCTCCCTGTGCTCTTGCCGAAGGAGCCTTTTAAGTCCGGCTCTTGGCCAGGCCCTGTCTGACCTAAAAGTCAGTCCTTAGCATGTTTTGTGGTCCAGGTTCAAAACCTAGGAGGGAAAGGTCTCATGCCAGGGGCCTGGGGAGCTGCTTCTCCCACTGCTGGTCTGGGGTAGAGGTGGCTCTAGGGAAGACAGACTTCTCTGCAGCACATTCTGCCTGCTGCTTCCTGAAGCTGTGGTGCCAGGGTAGTAACTTGTCCCTAAGAGATCGTTTTCCAGTGAATCCTTAGTTTGTGGGCTCAAGTCGATAGCAGGTGTGTGTTCCCTCCCGGCACTGACCAAACTTCACCCGGGCTTCCCATCTCAGGAAGTGCCCTCTCAGAAGCCTGGCTCTGAAGCTCTGCTACAGGTTTCAAATGTAGCTCTTTGCCTAGGTTCCCCCAGCTCTCTTTTCCTAAGAACGAGAGGTCAGAGGAGGGGGGCTCTCCCTGGGGAAGGATCTCGGGTTGAAAGGGCAGAGCTCCAGTGTATGTGCAGAGCTCATGCCAGGGAGGCCCTGCTTGGAGCAGGCAGCCTGGAGACCATGCTGGCTCTGCAGAGCAAGTGTGTGTTGCATGTTCTAGGAGCCTCCCATCACCCAGGCCCAGTTTGGGAACAGGCTGCCCTCTCATCTCCAGGGTCCCTGCTGTTCCCTGCCTCTCCAGGCTGCACCTCCCACTGAGCTCCCCTAGGGGTTACCAGTTGCTCTTCCAGGTGTGTCGCACATCTGTGTCGTGGATGCTGTGTCTGTCTGCCTGCTCATCCAGGAAATCAAACATGTATTTGATGGCCAGGGGGAGTGCGCTGCCCCGGTGCACAGTGCTGAACAAGGTCTCAAACAAGTCGTCCACAAACTTCTGGAGGGTGCCCTGGGGGAGGAGTGGAGGGACAGTGTGAGATGAAGTGGGAGGCAGTGGCAGGAAGCAGACAGGCATACCAGATGGTGCCTGGATCCATTCTGCCTTGAAATTTGTCTGTAGTGTGAGGCTGTGCAATGTGGCAAAGGTGCAAAAGAGTACTAGCTGCAGCGTCCTGGAGGCAGGAGGAACTGAATGGGCTGGGGATCCCCGGGAAGAATGTCTCCTCCAAACTGTAGTAGCATGCCACACTGATGTTGCATCTGTGTCCAGGAAGGGCTCTGAGTCCAGGCTTCCCAGGGTAAATGGGAGGGCACGGGTTGCAGCCCCATCTGTAGAAGGTATCCAAGGAACAAGTTGGAGAACTGGGCAGGACCACGGAGGGTCTGATAGGAAATATGAAGAGCCTTAAAATATCAGTGATCTGGGACAGATGAGGTCTGAAGCATGAGCTGAGGAGTGAAGGTTTAGATTTCAGAACACCCAGGTAAAGCGAGGACCGAAAGGCATCGAAGGGTCTCCCGGGCAGGAAGAAGACTGGGCTGTCTTGTCCCTGAGGATCGGTGAAACCTCTAACATTTCCTGGTGTCTCTTTGCTGGTCTCTTATTGGTATGCTGGACATGTTATGCATAGCAAAAATCGAGATACAGGGTCTGATAAAGTAGTTCTGGGACATTCTGGGAGCAAGTCTAGGAGCTAAAAGTTCGATGCCGCTCTATGAGGATCTCAGAAGCATTGTCTTAGGGGCAGAGAATTTAAATCTAACTTGCCCTGGAAAATGCAGGCCATGTGATCGCCATCCTTAAAGGCCTATTTTGTTCTCTGCTAGGAAGGCTAAAGATAATAACTTTCATCAATATGTGGGGACAGATGGAATGGGGTCGGAGACGGGGGCTTTCCCTTGGATTACCGGATGGGGCCTTGTGCTTTCTCTTGCATTGTGGCCAAAAGGGAGTGGAAAGGCAGTAATAACGGAGGTTGGCACATCTGTTCAGCTAAGACAGACAAGAAACCCTAAGTGTCTTCCTAAGGGAGAGAGTTGCTCCTCTAAAGGGCAACGGAGTCTCGAGAGTGGGCAGAAGGCAATGGTACCATTGCTGTTTCTGTCAAAGGGCATAGAATAGCAGTGGCCTGATTCTCTGGAAGCCCTCCCCAGGGTCCTAGACCAGGGGTCATCTGAATGGGTCCCCTTAAAGAACACATGCTATGATCTCCTTCCTGTATGTGGAGGGGCGGGACATGCCTCTCTGAGGAGCCCTCCCTGACCTGAGTAAAGCAGAAGTTACCTTGGTGGCCAGTAGCCGAGTCAGGTAGATCTCAGACACCATCTTGCTGCCCCGGTCACCCTCCTTCTGGTCACCGTGGTCATGGTTCTTCACCAGATGCCACACCTTGACCCCGCTCTCCAGGTCTGGGGTGATCATGGGGGCTCTGGACCGCAGGCTGTCGGGACTGCCTGTGTACCTGAAGGAGGAGTCTGAGGAGAAGGAGTGGTGAAGGGCTGTGAGTGACCGAGGCAGTGCCCTGCTTGCAGCATCCTCCCCAAATCCTGCCCATCTGCTGCATCCACTCAGAACAAACTTGTTTCAATTGGGAGGAGACCGCTGGGACCTCATATTTGGTGGATTATTTTAGGAGTCCTTGGTTGTCATGAGGACAGAGGAGCCTGACGTCTTTTTTGAAAAAGGTTTAGAAATTCCATGAACTAGAGAGACACTTGGGGATTGGTAAGCCCCCTCCTCTGATACTTCCAGCAATGAATAATCAACAGGTAAAATGTCAATAGGCTACTTCAGCAGGTACTTTAGTAAAACTATGGACACTAAAGAGTTGCAAGCTGAAATGATCCTTTTGGGAATCAATGGGTCCCTTTATTCTTAGGCCCTGCAATGTGACATTTCCTGAGCCCATTTGGAGCTGCTGGGTTTTGTCCTGTGGTGTCTTTCCGAGAACATTCAGAGGCCCAACATTCCTCAGGAGTGGAAAGACAATGATGGTCAATTTATTGTCCAAGTCGGGACAATTTTCCAGAATAAAACAGGATGCTATTCATCATTCAGCCAGGACAATAGGCATCAACTGGGACTGGCTCACCTAAACTGGGATGAATGAATCTCCCACCAGGTGCCTCCCTATACTGGGCTACTCTGAGTCCCTCACCAGGGCTGGGATATCAAAGGAAGGACAGTTGGTGCCACCTGCTCCCACTGTTTGGAGATGAAGCACCAAGAATTACTGGACTAGGGACAAGTGAGTGAGTGACTTTAAAGGAGGCCAGGCAGCAGCAGGAACTTCCTTCTGTGAGGAGGGGTGGTTAGTGGTCCCTGGAGGGTGGCAGAAGCCTCCATCCTGAGCTGCCCAAACTGCCTTCCTGGTGCTCACCGTATCTGCTGATGGACGTCCTGGAGATGCTGGCAGAGGCAGGGATGTTGTAGGAGGAGGTCTGTTTGGGGACCAGAGCTACCACCGACCTGTCTGATACCTGAGAATGGTACAAAAGGTACAGTTGTGTGAATATAGGTGTCTTGGGTAGGTGAATAGCCAGGTTATTCCAGAGGGTTATGGGATAGGAGTGGGTAGAGAGGAAGAAGTTCAGGAATACTATAAATAACTAGTACTGTTTCTGAGTTTTTATTGGACCAGAACAGCTTGGCTCAATAGGGCAGCTTCTTGTAATATGTGGCTATCAAGCACCTGAAATGTAGTTAGCCCCAACTGAGACACATTCTAACTGTCTGAGTTGAAATGTGCTAAAAATGTACAAAACACAGGAGAGTCAATGATTGAGTATGGATAAAAGAATATAAACTATCTCAGTGATTTTTTTATTTCTCACACATTGAAACAACAATTATTTTAGACTGACTGGGTTAAACAAATACATTGTTAATTTCATCTTTTTACTTTTGCTTCGTTAACGTGGCTAATAAACATTTAAAATTAAACATGTGACTTGCGTGGGAGGCTTGTTCTCTATTTCTGCTGTATAGACGTCCCCTGTGGCCTGTCATCAACCTTGGAAGTACTAGATAATTATTCCCATTTTACAGATGAAGAGATGGAAGGGTGGCGTCAGGGTCACATTACTAATACAAGGTAAAGCCGATATTTGTAGCCAGATGTGTCAGGCTCCAGAGCACATATCCTCTTTATATATCCTAATTTGGGATTTTATTTCCAGTCACACTGGTCTGAAGCCCATTTTCCCTGTAGGCTCTGATTTCATTCTGGCCTGGTTCCCATTATGCCTGGGCCACCTTGAACAGTTTTAGCACAAAGGTAGCTGCCCTTGGGGAGTCGGAAAGATAGTGTCTTGCCCCATCCTCTGTAAGGATGCCAGGCTCAGTGCCCAGTCTGTAGGGAAAGGGCTGATAAATGAGGCGCCATATTGAAGACATTTGGGGCCATTTTGATTTAAGATTACCCTCCATCCAATAAAAACGGAGAATCCCCAGAATTGTGGCGATCCAATTAAACCCCTAACGCAGAGGGAATAAAACAGCTATAATAATGTTATGGGCCATAAAACATTCCTATTAAACCATTTTTTATTTTAACAATTTTTATGAACTTTATAAGTTTGATTTATAGCTGCACCAGCCATAAAACCATCTTTCTGGGTCTTAAATTGTCAGTCCCTCTCTCCCACCAAAAAAGAATTAAATGTTGGGAAGTCAAACTATAAATGAACATTAGTGCTAACGAGATTCCCTGATAGCCGGTTTTAGTGATGGTGTTTAATTTTACCCTCCCTATAAATCTGCAGGAGCCCAGGCAGTTTTTAACATCTCTTTGTTAATTAAGATTATGCAGATTTTCTTCTGTAGGGGCTCCAAGGACCTTTGACTCCAGGGAGGGTAACGAGAGGGCAATGCTTGACTTGAGGGTGTAGAGTTCTAGGGTACTGAACCCTTCTCTGTGCTAGTCTGATGCCCGGAAGGTTCCGCACTCTATGACTTCCAAGCGGGGGGGAAGCGCTCTAGACTTGCCAGCAGTTGCCATCATTAGTATCCGGTCTAGGACTGAGGGAGATTTTCTACCTCTGCCTTTCAGAAATTCTTCTTGCCACCAACAGCCCAGAAATGATACTCTGGAAACTCAGCAGAGGCAGGGGCATTACACTCCTGGGGTAAACAGATTAGATTACTTGTGGTTTGCTGTCACCTAAAAGGAAGATCCACAAGGTGACTTACATCACCATGGTTCAGCTCAATTCCGGATCTAGTCATTAAATCTCTGTTGTCCTTGGTTTTTCTCTCTCTCTGAAGCCACAGGCAGCGCAAGTCTGTGTTCAATGTATCTCGCTGGGTCTGACTGAGGCTCTGCCATTTCCCAGCTGGATGAATTAACCTTTTGGACCTCAGTGATCTCATTTGTCAATGTGGACAATACTCGGGTCTAATAATCACTATTGTGAGAATTAGCAAAGGAATTAAAACACATAAAGGCTAAACATGGTGCTTGGTGCCCAGTGAGCTACTCAGCAAGCATTGGCATTAGTGTTGCCATTATGAGCATCATCATCATCATCCTGGTCATTACCATCCTATTCCAAAGGGAAGAAGAGTCTTTGCTGTCCCTGTCACTCAGGGCTAGCATGTGGGAAGTACCTCACACTCAGCAAAGCTCAGTAAATATTTGAGGAACGAATGAATACATGAATGATAAATGACATCAGGGAATTGGAAGTGCTTTGTATGATGAGCACCATTAGAACAGGATATTCCTTTCTTCTGGTTGGAAGCCATAGGATGGGCAGCCCAGCATTAGGGCATCAGACACAGAGGCAGACAAACCCTACTCCTGCCCTTTAGATGTGGGATTTGGGTGCATAGTACTATTCTCTTTTGCATTTTCTTATTCAGCTCTAACTGGTTCATTACAATCATTCTACAGGATGCACTAACCACATGGAGTGATGGTGTGTGTGCATACATGTGTAGAATTAACGGGGAGTGATCATAGCTGCATCCTTGGGGACCTCACCTGTTGTTTCTAACCCTTCCAGCCACCTTCATACCTTCACCAATCAGGGTTATAATCTTCATTTTGCAGATGACAATCCCAAGGTTGGGACAGATTAAAATCATGCCCAATGAGTGGGGAGGTGGGGTTTAAATACAGCTCCCCAAACCTTAGTTCTTCCCTTCTACAACTATCCTCACTCCATGTGGGGCTGGGGTCCAGGCAGGGTGCCACTTAGGGGATGCTGGTCAGAGAGGGGGATGGAGCCCAGAAAAGAGCAGTTGGGTTATCCCCAGTGGCCCCAGCCTCCTCTGTAACCTCCAGGCTCCCGGCCAGATCCAGGGCCTCCCAGCATCCTGGTCATTGGCAGCTCAGCGTTTGCAAGCCCAGCCTGCCAGCCTGTCTGCACGTCTCCCTTTGTGAGACAGGGACATAGGAGGATATTATTAATCAGACAACCCCATGGGTCTTGCAGCCTGAGGCACTTCCTCTGGTTGGTTTAATTTCCCTTGGTGTCTCTCATTTCCAGTTTCTATTTTAGTATTTTTCCTGAATCTCAATCTGTCTACCTGTGCTTAATCTTACAGAGACCCCCCCACAGCTGTGAGCACTTCCCGTGGGAGGGAAGGGGAGGTGGGAGTGGGTGTTCCTGGATCCTGTGTTCTCTGCTGGATTTTTTTGGACTATTCATTCTGTGTGTCTGCCAGTATATCAACATTGCACCTTTGACATTTAACTAGTCCACATGTCTGTATGGGGCAGGGATGGCTAGAAGCCACCTTTTACAGGAGAGAAGAAAGAGAGCTTAGGTAACTTTTCTAAGGATACCAGTTAGTAAGTGGCAGAATGTAAGACCTAAAGGCAAGCCCATCCAATTTCCAGCTAAACTGCAAGCCAGAGCATCGGCTGTAAGAGTAAGAGGCCAAAGAGAGAAAGTACCAGGCATCTTAAGATAGTTGTCCAGGTGAAGGACTTTGTAATATGCAGGGCTTTCTATATATGCAGAGATAATAGAAATGCCTACACCTTGCTCCTGACCCGTTACAGCTGTTTTGAAGGTGGAATCTCAGGACTCATGTTTTTTACAAGTTTTTTTTTTTTTTTAAACGTTCCCCAATCTAATGAGAATCTCTGCCCCAGCATCAGGGGAGAGGAAGAAAAGGAAGAGAAGAAAATCCCTTTTAGGCTTCTGAGGCTATAAAGCAAAGTTTAGAGGGACAGGGACATTCTGGGATGCTAAAGGTTTTGAGGGCAGAGCTCCCGTGGAAAGGAACACCCACTCTACCTGGTAATGCATCAGGGTGTTGAGCCGCTTCCAGTCGCCCTCAATCTTGGTAGTGATGTCCTCGTCCTGCAGCACGACTCGGGCGATCCGGCCTTGGCGCCACTCTGGGTAGAGAAGGTGATGCATGTGGCAGTGTGAGCGGGTAGGGCCAAGAGCCAGGCCCACTTTGTCTGGGCCAACCCTGGCTCTCATCAAATGGGGTCACTGATAGAGCTCAGAGACACTCAGAATTCCATGGAGTCAGGGGAGCAGGGGAGGATGTGTGGGCTTCTGCAGAGACGGACAGGTATGCCTGAGCAGGCAGTGCCAGGAGGGAGGAGCAATGCCTGTGGCCCTGACCTGGCCAGGACCCAGTCACTCCTGGGAGGGGAGTGGGAAGGTTAGGGCAGAGCTTCATATCTTCCCACCCCTCTCATGACCTGAATGCCCTCCAGGAAACCACAGGTCTCCCCTCACCCTCACACTCCAAGGCCAGGCTTCCTACCCAAGTCCATGTCCACGGCCCTGGGCCGCTGGGAGTAGGGCACATTCTTATATACGGCGTCGAGGATCTTCTCCTTGACTTGTGTGATGGTGTCACAGTTCAGCACCTTCACTGGGATCTCAGGACTGTTCTCATTGTCGGGGTTGACACAGTTCAGGATCTACAAGGTGGGGATCGAGGGTGAGCAGATCAGCCCTTGAAGGACAGTTTGAGGCAGAGGGGTGGAGAACTCAGAATCTTCTTTTTCCAAGGTCTGCCCTCTTCTCCTTGTAGGAGAAATAAGGCTTTGTTCTTTGCCTCAGTTTCTCTTACCTTCCTGCCATCTGCCACATGGCAGCCTGAGTCACTATGTCCACTCCTTCTTTCCCAAAGAAACAGGACTCTACTCTTTAGCTCACCAGTGGCTGAGGGGAGACTATGATCCTGGATTGAGGCACCCGAGGGGTTCAAAGATGGTTCCAGGTGCATCGGGGGCTGGTCTCACACTTCCCAAAGTTTCTCCACTAGGAATCAGTGCATCAGTGATGATGGTAATTACCCCATTCCTAGAGTGGAGTGACCTTTTTTCTTCCCCCGATATTATCTAGGGTAAGTGGAGGCCTAGAGCTCTCTTAAGGCTCACCAAATGAGATGGGGAGAGGGGAGCCCAGGAAAGTCTTGACCTTGCTACATTTCACATACCCCTTGGGCTTGCCCCAGACTGATCCCTCCACCTCTGTGCTGACCCCCACAGACTGCCTCTGGGGTCAGAAGGTAGAGTATGGATGAGAGCAGGAGGTATATGTGCTGTCCCCTGAGCGTGTGGCCTCCTCACCAGGGTCTTGTATTCGATCTGCTGTCGAATGAGCTTGTCCTCGCTCAGGGAGTAGCGGGCCTCTCCTGTGATGGCATCGATGGGGCCCTTCTCCATCTGCTGTTTGATGGCGCAGTACAGCATGAAGAGCGGTTCCCCTGCGCACTCCTAGGGACACAAGCGAGGCATGGGAGGATGGGCTTGGGCCCCTCTTTTCTGCCTCTTGAGCAGAGGCTGTGGGAAAGACCTCCTTGGCCTGCTTTGCTTGGGAGCATGCAGGCCCAGGAGTTCCTGTTCCTCGGGGCGGGGACCCCCATGCAACCCTGGAAGCCAGGCTTGTGCTCCCAGCTCTGGACCCATCTCACTCCCCTCACCTTCAGGAACTTATGCAGGAGGAAGGCAAACCAATTGGTCAGCATCTTCTCAGCCACAGACTCCGTCCTGGGGGAGGCAGAAGGAGGATGAGGGTCAGTCCTTTATGGAGGGGTCTTGGTGGTGGGATCTGGGCTTGTTGTGTGGACAGGAGAGAATAAAGGGCTTGGAGTCAGGAGGATCCCTGGGTCCCAGCCCACCTCTCCTAGTATGTAACTAGAAGTGAGACTTGAGCCAGGGGTGGCTTCTTTCTGGGTCTCAATTTCCTATGAAAATGGAGGGCCAGGACCTTTCATCCCTGCTGGTTGGTGGCACCATAAACTGCTTTGGCTGCACCCAACACAGGGAATGCAGAAACAGGCCGCCATCCCACAAGGCTATGGAGCACCAGTACTATACTCCCTCTGGTCTCTTGGCGATGAAAAGTTTTCCTCCTCCTCGGGGGTGTCTTGCAAGTCTCTCTGCTGCTTTGCATCCCTGGTACCTGCCCCTCCAAATGCTCAGAGGCAGGCTGCCTTGGGTTCTCAGACTGGCTGAGGGACCTTGGGCAAGTAATTTAACCTCTCCGGGTTAAGTTCCCCATCTCTAAGTGCAGACAGTCATGACACCTATCTGACACAGTTGTTGCTAGCATCGAATGAGTTAATTCATTTAAAGTGCTAAGAATAACGCCTGGCGCCCCAGCAAGCACTATGTAAATATTAGCTATCATTACTGCTGTCTTTAGGGCTCTCAGATCCCAGCCCTGCAGGTAGAGGCAGTGCTTAAGAGTTTAGCCAACAGGAGATCTGTTTCTGCGAATGGAATGGCTTCTCTCTCCCCTCCCCCATTCCCAGGCTTGCAGATCTGGGCACTTGGGAAGAAACAAAGCAGCCATGACAGACCCTTGGAAATGGGGATGCCTGAAGGGTATTTTAACTCCCTGCACGTGGTGCAAATTATACCCTCTGGCTGCAGTAAATCCCAGGCATTTGCCAGGGCTGCTCAGCAATCTGGGGCTGGGAGAGAGTGACAATGGCAGAAGAAATTGTAGCTTTCTCCCCGGGCCCTCCCAGCACCCGCTCTCTGCATTGTGCCTGAGATTAGCTCTAATTTAAATACAACAGTTCTTAATGAGAGTTTCTAATGCTCAGATTGGCAGGATGGGGGCTCAGTACTCATAAAACAAAGCCATCCTTCTTCCCTCCTCACCCCACGTGGGGCCTGGAAGCCTGAGACCTCCTGAGCAGAAGGCTAGGGAGGAGGGGCGCTGAGTGGAGAGGGGGCGTTCCAACTCCTGAAGCCCAAAGGAGCTCCAGAGCCATGTGTGGTTCCCCATGGCCTTGGGAGGCAGGGGTGGCAGGGTCTCCAACCCTCTCGCCTGCCAGGAAAGTGGCACCTGGGGCTTGTGGTGGATGCTGATGATCCCAATCCAGAGAGCTGGGCATGGAAGCCACACGGACTCTCTAAATCAGCGCTGTCCTTCAGAAAGGTCTGCGATGATGGAAATGGTTTCTGTCTATGCTGTCCAATATGGTGGTCACTGGACATAGATGGCGGGTCACTGAGCACTTGGAACGTGGCCAGCATGATAGAGGAATTTCTATTTTATTTCATATGGCTAGTGACTGCCTCATTGTGTCTACGAAGAAACTAAACAACATAGAAGTTACGCCATTGACCCAAGATCACAGAGCTAGCAGGCAGCAGGGTTGGGTTCCAGCTGAACTCCAAGCCTAGGCACGGGCTCTTCCGTCATACATGGGTAACTTCAGACCCTGCAGTCCCCTGGGATGGCCAGAAGGTCAGACAGACCCTGCCCTCGGAGACGTCAGGAGACAGGCTGCTTTGCCCAGGTACCATTTTTTTGGGAATGGAATCTTCGGGCTCCACAGGGGCTCATCGAATATGGTGCCATGTCCCTGTACAGATACGGGCCACCCTCCCACATCCTGCCACAGGTCAGACCTCCGGAGAAGCAGCTTGGGGTGGTTCTTGTTCTCCAGGTTCTTGTCAATGAGGTCAGACAGCAGCTGCTTGAGGACGTCAGTGGCATACTCCAGGCGACCCTGCAGGCCAGTCATGATGAGGGAAGCCACGTTGCCCCGGTCACGCATGGAGAAGCTGCGCTGCAGCTCCAGGGTGCGGATAAAGGTCAACAGGAACACCTTGTTGTTGATGAGCTGGGCGAAGAGCTTCAGGGCCTTCTCCACGTGCTGCTGTCCATTCCCCGGCACCTGGGGCAGGCGTGGAGGGGCGACAGCTTAGAGGACAGGCTCCTGGCCTCCTACCCCCGGCTCTCAGCAGGGCCTGCTGGTGATGGGACCCTCTCATGAGGCCTTTAAGTACCCCCACCCTGAGGCTCCGTGATGTAGCAAAGGTCTGAAGGCTGCACCTGCCTTGGCCTTCCACAGGGGGCAGGGAGCTTGGGCCCCGCGAGCCGCCCGCCAAGGGGACCATGTGATTTCCCAAGATACCACAGGACATCACCCTTCAGACTTCTTCCGTTTACTAGTCTTCCCTTAATCTCCTCTGTCCTGATTTATTAACTTCAGGAAAACAAACCAACAAGTGAGCAAACAAATCTCTCAGAGTCCCAAGTCTTTCTTTAAGCCACCTTAAATCCATTCTAGAATGAGTCAGGATCTCAGTTCATTAATTAAAAGCTCACAAACAATGTTCCTTGTGCTGTCACTGTCCCCAAATGCCCGGGTGCCCCCTTTGCCCATGATCATTCCTGACAGCCCTGCTGCTGTCATGCTGGGATCGACTTTTGGCCCCACCTCACGGGTCACCTTACTCTATGCTGCTGAGTCCCATCTGGACTTCCTGGGAAACCCTGTCCTGCATCCCTCCTGGGCGGCTGATCCAGGGAGATGGGCATTACCTCCAGTTCCCGCAGGACAGGGTGGTCCTCAATGCCCGGGAACAGGACCCTCATGGCATAGGTACGATAGTCCAGGTAGGGGATTCCTGAGCGGTCCAGGTCGCTGGTGAGCTCATTGATGTCTGTCTGGAGCTCAGCAAAAGCTGTGGGAGTGAGTGAAACAGGTTGGCTTTGTAATGAAGGAAGGGGAACTGGGGTGCAGAGACTGGGCGGGTGGGAAGGGAGCATCTGGGTGGGAGAAGAAATTCCTAGGTTGCCTGCTATAGTCTGGATATTAGATGTCTCCCAAAGGCCCATGGGTTAAAGTCTTGGTCCCCAGGTGGGCACTATTGGGAAGTAGAGGAACCTTTGAATTGGGGACTGGAGGGAGATCCTGGGTCATTGAGAAAAGGCCCTTGAGGAAAGAGCAGGGCCCCAGCCTCTTCTTCTTCTGCTCTTTTGCTTCCTGGCTGTGAAGTGAGTAGTTCAGCTCTACTTCGTACTCCTGCCGTGACCTGCTGTCTCATCACAGGCCTAAAGCAGCAGGGCCAAATGACCATGGACAAAAACCTCTAAAACTTCAAGCCAAAAAAACCTTTTATCTTTATAAGCTGATTATCTCGTGTATTTGTTACAGTGACGGAAAGCTGACAGACACACTGCTTTTCTTAGGTACTAAGAAGATGGGCAATTTGTATTGTCTCCTGGGCTTGTCTATAATTTTGATTTTCTTCCTACATACTGAAAATGTGGTTAAAACAAAGAAAAAGGAAGAATACCCCAAACTGGGCCATTCAGTACAGACCCTCTTGGAGGAGCTAGCAGCAGGTAAAGAAGTGGCTGGGGGCTCTGGCAAAGACCCAAACAGGCAAATTGCTGCCCTTTCTTAAGCAAGAGGATGAATCAAGATGCAAACACCTTGGGAAGACCTGGTCATCAGATGCTGGGTCAACAGGCAAGCCCGGGCAGCACAGGGCTTCCGAGGTCTCACCCTGGGCCTGTCTCCTCGATGCCTGAGCCCTGTGGGCCTGGCGCCAGGAGAGCCTCTGCCGCTCTTCTCCCAGCCAGCACCTCCCTTACATCAGCAGAGGGCTTGTTTCTGAGAATGACGTTTGCAACAAAAGGAGAAATGTTTTGATTTCTAATTGAGATGTTTACCCAGAGAGCCTGCCAGGTCCTCAGCTCAGGAGCATGCCAGGTACACTAGTCACCCCATGACGGGCGCTGCGTGGGAGCCGGGAGCCATCACAATCCCCATTCCCACACAGGTTCCTGGCCAGGAGTGCCAGCAAGCGTGGCCTTCCAAGCTCAGCCTGCAGTACTGATAGGAACCAACCCTGGGGGAGGTGACAGGGCCCAGCAGAGGTGAGGTGCTCTCCTGCCTTCCAGCTGCTGCTCCCACACTCTGTGAAGATGACTCTGCCCTAAACAGGAGCCAGATGCTCCATTGGGCAGATCTAGCCTGAGACAATGGATCAGGGTGGCTCTGACTGTGGGGGCATAGAGTCCCTGAAAGGGAAATGGTGTCAGCCAGATTGTGAGTGGAGTGAGGGCAGGGGGTGGACAAGAACGGTGCAAGGGGACCTGGGTCCTCGTCACCTGTGGCCATTCTTTTTTTTTTTTGTGGTACTAGGGATTGAACCCAGAGGTGCTCTACTCCCAGTGAGCTACATCCCCAGTTATTTTTAAAAAATATTTATTTATTTATGTATCTTTAGTTTTAGGTGGATACATTAGTTTGTTTTTATGTGGTGCCGAGGATCGAACCCAGTGCCTCATGCATGCTAGGCGAGCGCTCTACCTCTGAGCCACCACCCCAGCCCCGTCATTTTTATTTTTTAATTTGAGATGGCATCCAGTTGCTCAGGCTAGCCTCAAACACACAATCCTCCTGCCTCCCAATAACTGGGATTACAGGTGTACACCACCTCACCTGGCAACCTGTGGGCATTCTTCATAGGGCTTCTGTGGCCCTAGAGGCAAAGGAAGTTTCTGGAAAAACCGAGGCTGGAGGTGGGAGATTGACAGTGAAGATGGAACTCATGGGCAAGGAGGAGGGAGATAAGGCCAGTGGAGAATGGGGGTCCGAGAAGCCGAGGTATATATGCCTCACTCACCTTCCTTACACTCCAGGGCCACGCGAGACTCCAGGTTGTCCATCTGCATTTGGAGCCGCTTGAGCGTGAGGTCATTTTCTCGAGACTTGCGTTTGTAGGCAATGAGGACAATGATGACGATGATGAGCAGGAGGCTGCCGCCGGCCGCGATGCTGACGATGGCTGGCAGGGTCAGCAAGCTGTCTGAGATGACACTCACCGAGCCAGGCGAGAACACCATCCCGCCCACGTGAACCTGTGCATTGTACACACACAGACGCACACGGATGCACACAGGTGTAGAGCCCTGGCATGCCATCAGATCCTTGGACATGACAGATCACAACCACATGGTACAGATTTGGATACAGAGCAGCTTCCTGCCTTGGTATCTGCCTTCGGTTTCTTGTGTGCTAAACTTTCTAACCATTTCAATGTAGAACATGGAGATGAGGAGATACTTGAGGGTGTGAGTCAGGCAACGAGGTGGAAGAGAGAGCTTTTCTTTATGACAGATCATGCATGCACAGTGGTGGGAGGAGGGACAGAAGGAAGAAACGGAAGAGGGGCTCACTCACCATGACTTTGTGCTGCCCTGTGAGGTTGGGGGGTTCGCAGAGGAGCTGTGTTTCAGACACGGTGACAGCGCAAGGGGTCTCTCCAATCAGCACTGTGTAGTTGAGTTTCGCTCCTCCAGAGGCGGGGGGACAGAGGTTTTTGCCCTGTGGAGAACAGTCATTTTAACAGGAGTGATTGACACCTGCCCACAGAAGCTAATTGTGTACTTAAAAAGACACTCAGGAGCCCAGAGGAAGAGGAAGGAAAGCAATGAGAGAACCAATAAATGATTCCATGGTAAGGTTTTTGGAGCCTCAATTTAGAGAGAAAACAAAGGAAGGAGATAATGAAAGGGAAGAAGAGAGTAGGAAAGACCAAATCCTGAAAAGGAAAAATCTAGGGGAGGATCCCTGGGATTTAACCAAAGTGGCGGGTAGAGTAACAAAACTCTTGGATGGACAGCATCTGGAGACTACAAGCTCTTGGTGTGGAGACCACTGTGGCCACGGAGGTGGCACAGACAAGGAAACAGTTACCCCCAAGTCTCTGCAGAACCTCTGCTTCCCCAAGTTCCCCAGAACAGCAGACAGTCGAAAGCATTATTTGAGAATCCCACTTGCACTCTACGTGGCTCAGTGGGTCAATACCTTCAAACAAGCTCTGCCCATTGGGAGATGGAAGCTTTAAGGGTCCAAAGCACAGACAGGAGGAGCAGAGAGACAAGCAGGAGAAGTGGGGTGCTCCGTCCCACCATGGTCTATGGGGGGGGGCAACTCCCCTCTCTGCAGACCCACACCTTCAGGATGATGGGCGATCCTGGCTTTTGATCCAAGACTCCTGTGGGGCTGAGCAGTTCAAAGGTGGGGTTGGGGTAGTAGATGAACTTGGTGTCGTTGTAAATCAGCAAGGACTGGACGTTGTTAAAGACGAATCCGAACTCATCTGGCCGCTCCACAGTGTCCAAGCCTGGCCGGTAGTCCGTGGTCAGGGAGGGTGCCAGGCAGGTCAGGGTGGTCGTGTTCACAACTTTACACACCTATGAGACCCAGAGAGGAGTATTCGAATGTGAGCACCAGTGGGCAGAGGCCGGGATCCAACAGCCCGTCTCCTACTCTCTGCTTGCTTGAGTTTGCTGGCTTTGGGTTACTTGCTTATTTTTATCACATAGTGGGGTTCTGAATGAGAGGTGGTGGCATTTGGGCGGAAGTGCATTTTAATCTCATTTATCTATTCATTCATTCACTCATTATCTGGAGCTGCTATCTGTGGCAGGTACTGTGCTAAGAGTTGAGGCCATAGAGTGAAACAGACCCAACCCCGGGGGCAGACTGCTGATTAAACCAGCCTGCCGCATTGTAGGGCACAACACAATGCTGAAATGCAAGAATGGATGTGAAACGCACAGTCCCTGGGAGGATCAGGGACTCTGGGAGTGTGTGTGAATGGGGGAAGGATGGCCTGCAGCAGGGTGGTGGTGACTCATCCAAGTTTTCCTTTGGAAGAAAGGAATGCACTTTAATCTCAAAAATGAGAAGGCTTATCTAGACAAAGAGAGGGAGGTGTGGGGGAACAAGTTCCAGGAGGGAACAGCACTTCAAGGGCCTGGGGGTGAGGAAGCAGGGGATGTTTGAGAAAGAAGTAGGACAGAAGCAGTGTAGGATGTGTGGGCAGGTGGGTAGTATGGAGCAGAAAGTGGTATGAGATGAGCACTTTGCCCTGCTTAGCACATAGTAGGTGTTCAGTTAGTGTTTACTGAATAAACAGGACTGTGCAATTCCACGTCTTACCCAGGATCTCGCTCTCTCTCTCTCTTACAGAATTGACACTGAATTCATGTTGTCCTTTTCCCTTTTTTCTTTGGTCTGCCATTTAAAAATCCTGGCTGGCTCCCCCACCCGCCTTTTCCTCTGGTGGTTAGTTCTGGAGTTGCCCCAGGTGGCAGCCAGACTGAAGGAACCACTAAAGAGGACTCATGCAGGCCTTGGGAAGGAAATCCAGACTCCTGCCCCATCCCCTGGCTCCCACTGGGCACAGCTCAGTTTCAGCTCTGGGAGCCAGGAGGTCCCAGGAATAGCCAAGGGCATCTCTGAGAACTCGGACTGCTCAAGTACATACTGTCCTGGCAGGGCCCCACACGTGTTGTGTAGCTGGCCAACACACACACACACACACACACACACACACACACACACGGACTTCATGTTCAGAAATAAGACTTGTGTGTGAAATTGCAAAAGAGCTGACACTTGCATAGAGATTTTATCTAGAGATTATGTCAGAGCTTCAAGTCCAAGTCTTAACCCTCTCTTTCCAGAGGGAGCTCCACAGTTTAAACCAAACGGCTCGCTGGGGCCTTCACGCTGTAGTAGCGGTCGGTACCCACTCCTGCCCTCTTCATTGCACACTTCTGCAGCTCCCTTTGAACTTGATGCACTTTTCATTTTGCATCTGGGGACACTGAGGCACAGGAAAGCAAGGGCTGCAGTCAAATAGGTAGAGTGGAGCCAAGGACTGGAAACCCTGGCTCAGGAGGGAAGCAACCAGCTTTACTCAGAGTTGTCTCTCCATCCTCTGTCCCCACCGGCCTCCCTGCTTCTCCGGGTTTCCCTGTGAATAAGCAAATCAGTCCCAAACAAGAGGCCTCTGTGTTTCCTGCCCTGTGCTGCATCCGCATTTTGTCTGCCAAACATTCCTTTGGGCTTTGCAGCTTTGCCCTGGCTCTCCTCGCCATCCACTCGGGTTGCTTCGAAACCCAAAGGGCAAGAGAGATGGCTCCGGGTGGGCTGAGATGGGACCCGAAAGGGGTGATGACAAGGAGGCGGGGCTGGCAAAGTGCTTCCTTCCCTCTGTCCTGCAAGCAGAGGATCAGGAAGAGGTCTGAGTTTCCCACTGTGGGGCCAGACTTGAGGGACGCTGTGTTCCCACAGGCCTTTCCTGCAGGCCTGTGGACTCCAGGCAGGGAGGCCCAGGGCCCCCAGCTCTCCAGAGGTGGAACTAAATCTTAGTTCCTTGAAACCCTGAGATCCATGGTGTGGGGGGCTGGGGAAAGTGCTGGGGAGATTCCTGCCAGGGCTGCCAATGAGTCCCCGTGAGGCGCGGGGACCTGAGGCTCAAGCCCCATCAGTCTTCACTCCCATTGGCTTCCCTGGGATGAAGACTGTGGGCTTCGGGGGTCACTCTTGTCACTCAGGTACTCACTCTAGAAAATTCTCTGTGTATGGTGGTCATTATGTCCTTTGTTTTCTGTATACTGAAGCTTGGCATCTAGGACCCAGCTCTTTGGAAAGAGCTGCCAATTCCTAGAGATGGCAAAGGACTTGCCGGCCAGGGACATGCCTTTCAGATGCAAACCAATCAACCCAGCCCCACTTTCTAACCATCTCCTTTTACACCGAGTCACTGTCTACATTCCCTAATCACCCCAGGGCTCAGTACCAACCAACCAGGGAGGACAGTCCCTATGCACAGAGCCACTGAAATGACTCCAACCAGCTGATCTGAAACCCTTGGCCCTGCATGCCTATCCCTTCCTGCCGAGACCTCAACAGAGACTCCAGCTGCCGTTTCTCCTCTCCCCCTGCCTCCTGATAGAGCTGGGGTTTCCCCACGTGGCCCCCATGGCATGGCCCCCTTCTTCTCGAACTCGGCTCTGTGTGTAGGACAAACTACACTCTGGCCTTGCTGTGTCTGAATAATAATAAACTCTATTTTAAAACATGTGTTTAATTTTCTTGGGGAGATGGCTTGTCCATCAAGGCTGTCTGGGACTGTTCCCAGTTCTACGTCTCACCTCCTCCAGAAGACTCTGGGGTGATCTGTGAGCTTCTGGGAACACTTAGATTCTTACGGAAGCCAAATGGGGTACAGGCTCTTTTCCCATGGCTCCAGCCTACACCCGGGGGAAGAGGCCTGTGCTCACCTAACTGGAAGTGTGTGACCAACTGTGGTGGGTTCTGAAGTGTGCTCCTATGTCTGGCATAATGGGAATACCTGGCTCACCAGCATTGCTGTGGTCTAGTTATGAACAGTCCAGGTGCTTGGGATCTAGCGTGGCCCTGCCACCAGTCACCTTTATGGTTGCAGCAAGTCATTTATCTATCTGGCCTTAGTTTCCTCAGTCAGCTATGCAAGGAGGGGGCTGGACCAGATGATCCCTGAGAACTTTTCGGGTCCAGTGTTCTAGCACTCCATCATTTAGTGAATTTTAACGGTCTCTAAGCATGCTGGGAATGGTCAAGGATAAGAGAAGAGATGACACCATCTTTGGCATCTCCATCTTAGCCCCTCCAGTCCTCTGAAGGTCAGAGCAGTAATCACAGAACTGCCTATGAAAATCAATGGCCTTGACAGCATCATCTGGGCTATAATGGTGAATATAATAATATTTCAGAAAATACTGGCTTTAAGAGTGAAATGGAGCCACTAGAGCAAACTGAAAACTTTATGATAACTTATCAGATATTCTGTTCTCATCAGAATAAGAGAACTTCTTTAAACTCACAAAAACCCACCCTGGTGGGGTGGGAAATAAAATTATGTGGCCCTGAGCAAAGGAATAAAGTAAAATGTTCAACCTGATCATCCCAGCAATTAGGTTCTGGGCAAGGTCAGAATTATTTGTCCGAAGCGACTAATATTTATCAAATGCCAACCAAGCATTGGCCAAGGGCTGCCATATTACAAATCTGCGAAGCGAGTCTTAGCACCGCCATGTACCACATGGATCAGAAAGAGTAAGTGACTTGATCATCGTTGTATAGCTAACAGATGGCAGAGTCCTGCTTCCAATCTAGAAATGTCTGCACGCGGAGCCAGAATCTCTCCCCCAGCCACCCAGCGTTTCTCAATGAACCTTGAAGGGAACGTGCCATAAAACAGGAATCCTTTTATGCTCTGTCATAAGCTCTGAAACTATACACTCAATATATCACCTCTGACAAGAAATTATCTGTAATTATAAAAATGATTTTAAAGCTCTGGTATTTGGGATCCTGATTCCAGGCCCAGAGTCTTGAGCCGATTCCCCTCTCCAGTATCTAGGTGTCTCTATGCCTGACCCATAGATCACAGGGAACTGTGATAACTGAGGACTGGGGTGGACCAATGGCTACTCACATTGACAGATTCTTTGCCATTAAACTTGACCCGGATCCTTGGTTCCTGAATGACATCGAGGTTGAAGCCTGTGATGGTCAGGGGTGTGTGGCCGCTGAGGACAAGCAGAGGCTAGATTAGGTAAGAGATCCCTCAAACCTGGAATGGTGAACCTCGACCACTGGGATCCCTCCCATGAACCACCCTTGGGCCACAGAGGTCATGCCACTTGGCAGCCAGGTACACTCCACCATTAGCCTCACCTGGCAATGCTCCACTCTGGCTCAATGCGCTGGACGCGAGGGTCATCTATGTACTCAAACTGCAGGCTGTTATCCACACGGGCCCTGTCAACACTCACGGAAACCGGGACCGGGCCCAGTCCATTGGCTGATGGGGGTGAGACACACACGATCTCATTCATGGACCTCCTGATGGGAAGAAAACATGATGTTTGAGAAGAAAGGCATGGGGACTAGGGAGTGCCCTTTGGCTTGAAAAGATACTTCCCTTGGTCAAAGGTGTGGCCCAGAAAATTTCTGCTGTTCCTTTATGCTCTATGCTATGGCTCGCACCCCTCACCTGTGCCCTCTTTTTACCTGAGACCCAACCCTAGAAGGGTCAGGGAAGGAACACATTGGAAAAGTAGATTAGAGAATGTGGAGCAGGGGTTAGGTTCCAGGGGCTTTGGGTGAACTCCTTCTTATCTGGATTTTTCTAGACTGTAGACAGTCTGGTCAGGCTGTCAATAAATATTCATTGAATACTTACTATGCACAGTGATTACCACACAGTGCTTGCTTTTGTAGAATTTATAGTTTATTATCAGGCAATACTGGGCAAACTGAGTTCTCAGGCATGGAGTCTTTCAGAATTCTTTCAGGAGTCTTTGCATCTCCAGGGCTCATAGGAGTGGCTGATAATAATAAGTGTTCATTTTTTTTTTTTTAAATGCAGGGGATTCCTGGAGCATCAGTATCTGTGCTTAAAAGGCAGACCATGCAGCCTCCATGTTTCTCAAGCCACTATAGTGGGGACTCAATGAATGCCCAATCCTCATGGTGACTAGGAGAGCTCCTAGGAACCTTCTCATGGCCCTCACTTCCAATGACTTTTTGAAGTAACCAGTCCCTGTGATGCATGGGACATAAATTGACAAGTGGATTGTATGTCTCACAATGGCTGGAACAGTTTGGGCCCAGGAAGTAGCAAATAACACAGAGGCAATGGGGCAGGCCTATGCAGGAACATTCAGAGGAGCGTGTGGGCACAAGATCCAGAGGCAGTCTTCTAGCCAGGTTTCAAGTTCATCTCACCCGTAGAACTCGCAGGTCTGGTTGCCCAGGTATACGGCCACGCGGCTCCCAGCACCAAGGTAATGGCCTGTGATGGTCACCATGGTGCCTCCAGACTCTGGCCCTCGGATGGGGTTGAGTGACAGCACGGAAGGGTTCTTTGGGAAGAAGCAGAGAAATACTTGCAGCTTAGGTCCAGGGTTAGAATTAAAGTTAGAAGAAGGGACTGTCTTCCTGTTAGGAGTGGAGGTACTTTTCTTGGGCTTTGCAGTCCCAAGTGCCCTCTCAGGAGCTGAAACCCTTTCTAAGAGTCTCTGGGCGTGTCCAGGGAAGGCAGAAGGCCACGTATTGGAATTAATTAACTCCCTGGGGAGTCTTATGCTCATAACATTGAAGGGAAAGCAGAGGTGACACTGACTAATCTATCAATTAGTTTACAAATTGAGAACAATTTGAAAATGCTTCTCTATCTAGAGCCTGTCCTGATTTTTTTGGCACAAAATCGATAAGGCTGAATAAAGCATCCTTGCCTAAGTTGGGCAGCCAAGAGCCTACAGCCCTCCACAAATGGTCTGTACACTTGGCCTTTTATCCCTCCCTAAGCACATTAGGATTTCCAGTGCTGAGAGCCATCAGTAAATGTCAGATATGACTTCTCCCGCCCTCCCCAAGAGGGTGGCATGCTGCTGGCTGGGACTTTCTAGAAAACTCACTGAGTTATAAGAGTAAGCCTAATACGTAAAAGGCATGTCTAGGCTGAGATGGACGAAGTAGCTGGCCTACATCACAGAGGAATTACTTCTGCCTAGAGGGAAATGGAGGGAAAAGTACATTTAACTGAACGACTACACAGGTAAAAACTCTAGTCTGTATTAGCCACTCACTCACTGGCTGTGGGCCCTGAGGTACGTTTCGGGATCATTCTGGACATCAGTTTGCTCCCTTGTCCAGGGAGGAAGGGGCGCTGGGTTGTTCCTAAAGCCCCACCAGCTCTCCCATGGACGATTCTCTCCTCATCTCACTCTTCTGTCTGCCTCTCATCTGCAGTAGGCCTAAGATAGGCCGTGGTACTCTCCATTCTGAGAGGAAAGTACGAGAAAAAGGTAGAAATGCCCAGATGAGAAGACAAAGGCCTGGAAAACCTAAAATCAGCAGTAAAAATGTTTGAGAGAGAAGAGAATTTCGCCGCCTAATGATTTTTCAAAACCCTTAGCAAGGTCGGTTTGACCCCATCTGCTAGTGTTAAAACTTTTAATGAAGTATTCAACGTGGCAACGTAAGTAGTGTTAGAAAAGGGACTACGGGACCCCAGAAACAAGTTATTGATTCAGTATGAATTTAGCCCTGGAACGCACCGGGGCCTCGGAAGCAAGTTATTGATTCTGTGTGAAGTTAGCGCCAGCCTAACAGAAAGCCTTTGTGATCCTACTACCTGTTGGCTGAGTATAAAGAGGTGTTTGCAGGCATGAGTGTGTGTAACTGTGTGTGTGTGTGTGTGTGTGTGTGTGTAACCGTACTGACACACAGAGCCACGCCCTCCTAGGCCCACCTCTCCTGGCCCTGTGCACAAAGGCACATCCCCGCTAGATCTCATTCAAGTATCATTGGCAGAAAACAAAACATGAGGATAAATATGGACCCAGTGAATTAGGTCCCTCAGGCCATGTGTCCTCATTAGGCTGGAATTAGTCCAAGATATCACACTGAAGGGACAAAGGGCAGCCACCAGCCCTCCACATCTAGGATCCACTTTCTAAGAAAGTTCCATTTGGCCTTATTTAGAACTCTGACCTGTGCCCCCCCCCAGGACTCCAACGTCTCCACAGCTTTGTTAATCACACGTCCATCCCACTCCAGCAAGACAGGCCAGAAGTCCTCTTTTTCTGGTCTTCTCTATAGTTTGGGAGAAGCTTGGGAGGGGAGGGGCATGTGGAGCCTTTTTGGGAGAAGTCGGGAACAGGTGTGTGTGTGCCCTTGCTGGGTACCCGCAGCCTAGCCCTCAACCCAGCACTCACCACAAAGGTGTACTGTTGATGAGACTTGGTCATGAACTCTGGCTTGCACTCGCCAATGCACAGGCGCACTGGCCCAGAGGCGGTTCCCACGAGGGCATGGCCCATCTCACAGACGATCCTGAGGAGAGAGCAAACCTTCCAGTGAGCAAACCCTGCCAGTTTGCCTATCCGGTCATAGTGAATGACTCGGCACAGTCTTTCAGGAGTGCTGAACCAAGAACCTAGCTAGGTCACCCATCTAGCTGTGTGACCTGGGATACAGGGCTTTCCTTCTCTGGGCTTTATTCTCATTTGGGCTGTGGGAGGTTGGATTCGATTACTCTAAAGCCCTGTGTACCTTTGCTATACTATGTTGCTGAATTCTGTGACCAAGCCTGTGTTCCCCAGTGCCTAGCATGGTGCCTAACCTTGGGTAGATTCCCCGTATTGGTGGAATAGACTGAATGTCCAACAGAGAGATCTAGCGGCAGCAATTTAATTGGTATCCTCTGCTATGTGACAAGCCAACAGGGCCACTCTCTCTAAAAGAGCAGGTGAGGCCTATCTGCCAAGTTGATTCAATTGTGGTCTATTTCCTGCTGTGAGTTTTTAAAAGGGGGATAGATAATCTGGTGAGATATAGGGAGAGCAGAGCTCTAAACAGGAGCTCCCAGGAAAATGGGAGGGGTGCAGATCTGTGGCGGCAGGAGAAGGGGTGGGAGGTGGATGAGTTCATTAGGCCAGCAGTGGACACCAGACTCCCACTTAATCAAGGTCTGAGCACACTAAGCTGGTAGGCAAGAGAGTGGACTTGGCCCTGGGCTGGAAGTCCTGTCTCACACTAACAGGAGAGCTCGCGGGGAGAGGTGTGTGGTGCTCTCTCTTAAGCAGCCCAGATCAATACCCCCAGCGAGACTTCCCTGGCGCCTATGATAAGTGACACAGTCACATTTAGACAACTGGATGCCTTAGCCGCAGCAGCCTTTTAGCAAGGTGGGGGGGTCAGCTGGAGGACAGGGGAGGGCCTGAAGAAATCAGGGCCTGGGGTACCTCTCGCCTGGACCTGAGTTGGATGGGAGAGGGTCCCTCTGGGCTCAGCAAAAATTAGGCTGGAAATGGAGGGAAGGAAGAATCTTCCTTGTCTCCCACACCATTTGAGAGTTCTGAGCAGCCTGGTGTCTCTGGTAGGTTTGCTTAGTGGGGAGTCGGAAAAACAGGCCCCCTCTCTGCTAATCCCCAGCATTATCCTGGCACGGTGGGGAAGATCCATGTTTAACTGAGTGATGCTTATCTCAACAGCTTCTCTAGGAAGGAAGGTAACTAAACAGAGATTTCATTTCGATGTAATAAAACTTGCATTAAACAAATACGCTGCATGCTTACACACACGGCATGCCGCTGGTCTCCATCTCCTTCATAACTGTTAATCCTAAATAAGTACTTTCACTCCTGGCGAATATTGACTTAACATGCAATAACTGTCTTATTACGTTTAGCATATTAGATGCAACAAGAAAGTACTGAACGTGCATGGAAGAATAGTCTCCCTTCCCTTTCTCTATGAATAAATAAATTAATGATGAGCCTGAATAAACAGGATGGTGATGATCAATTAGTATTTGACACGTAACTGTCTCCCTAAAGCTCATTAGTGGAGCATTTGAGAAGCTTAATTTAACGTACAATGTGCGGTTCCTTTCCTACTGCTACCTGCGGTGGAGTAGCAACTCCTCCATCTTGTTTCGTGGGCGCTGGCACCTGCTCCGGCTGGTCCCTGCTACCCTATAATCCATGCCCTGCACCCTCAATGAGCTGCAGAGGAGAGTCCACTATTTATGGAGGCGATGGGGGCAGGGAGAGAAGAGGAGGCAGATAAGCCCCCTCCCCTCTGCTAATCAGGGCTCACTTATTCCTGACTCCTTTGCCCTTGGACGCTGCAGGAGCGATCCTTGAGAAGAATAAGGGGAAGAAATCATCACTGGCTTGAAAATGGGGAAAAAGGAAACAGGAGAACACGTGAGAGGTCACGGGCAACACTGAAACTTCCTGGGCCTGTCCAGGAAAGGAGAAGTGCTCGTGTGGCCCTGTGCCGCTGTCCCTGTAGGAGGCTGACATTGGGCTAGGGCTTCTGTGCACTGTATTTTCCCAGGACATTTTCATGGGTTCATCGTGTATTGTCAAGAACCTGGGAGAAGAGCAACAGATGGAATGGAAGCTCCCTGATCCGTGCAACGCTAAGCATTTGCAGTTGGCTCTGAATGTCCCTGCACAGTGGCACATGAGGAAGGGGCTTGAAGCTGAGCTGCAGTGAGCACCCAGAGCTAGCCCCGGTTGTCCTCCTGGACATTGCAGCTGAGCTCTTTCCTTGCTCAGGGAGTGGGTGAGACAGGGCTGTGGTGAGCAGGAGGCCATGGGCAAGGGTCTGGGTGGGTAGGTCTAAGATCTGAATGGGAATGTGAGCAGGATCTCCTGCCATCCTCCGACTCTGCTATCGGGAGGGTCTTGGTATCTCCAGTTTACAGACAGTGACACTTGGGCTCAGAGATGCTAAGTGATTTATCTATAGCCACAATTACAGTAAGTGGCTGATTGAAATACAGGTTAGTTGGACTCCAAAGCTCATGGACTTTTGACCACTCCATTCTATTGACACAGCATTTAATGGAATGCTTTGGATGTCTGTAGGGAGGGGACAGTACATACATGGGAGCCATGACAGAGTTGAGGTTTTGACAGAGCGTAGTGGGGAAGACCCAGCTGGTCTCCTGAGGCTCTGAGAGCTAACCACTTTGCCTCCTTCTTGATTGTGGACCCACCATAGGCCTTGGCGCATGTGACTTCCTCCTCTAGGCTTTACATGCTGGGTGCTGTGGTTTGATTTCAGGGGGCTTCCCACCTTCCTGGTTTCCTCCCTGTGTCTCTGGTGGCTCCAGGCCCTATGTATTATCAGGAGGCACCAGTTAGAGATGTCTAGATTTTCTCTTTGTAAAATGAGGAGATAGACCAAACTAGCTAGTGTTGACATTTGAAGGTTTGACTCCTGGTTGACAGAGTATTCTGGAGATACATAAGTGCCACCGATAAGCTTTCTAATGGAGGATGTTGCAGATTCCAGGAGACAGACTGCTTCAGCAACCCAAAGACCATCCAGTTGATTGTAGAGATCATCTATTCTTCATATTTATTTTTCAGATGAGACATTTGAGGATCAGGGAGCAAAGTGACTTACCCAAAGCCACTTAGTTCACAAATAGCTGAGTTATATCTTAACCTCCAGTTTCCTGGCACTAACTAGCCTAGTGCCCTAGCTTCTATACCACAACCACCTCCCACAGATTGGTGTGACTGTCGCCTATTCCCTGGTGTGGTAGGCACATGTATCTCACATCCATCCAGCTGGGTCTGAGTCCACAGGTATATAAAGCAGGCAAGAGGAAGGGTGGTCTGAACTTAGTCTGCCTTGCACAGAGCCCCCATCCCAGGAGGCACTGAAGAGCGCCCTCAACCTGTGTCCCATTACTCAGAAAATGTCCTGTGACTGAACCATCCGGCTCCTCCTCAGACCTGTGGGGTGCTGATTGCAGGACTAAGCAGGGCCCTTTAACCAACATTAACCTAATTGCTGAGTGATAGATGGCACGGCACAAACATATGGTGAATCATTACTGTGCCCGCTAATGCTGCCCGTGCCCAGGACTCTGCACTGAGCCCGTTTAGCCAAATTCATCTCTTGCAGACATCTGTAACGATTGTGCCTGCTGCTCACTACCCGGGATGGAGGCTTTAATGATGTTAACAAACTCTGAAACCTCGAGAGTGGTAATGAGTCTGGCACGGCTGGAAACCAGGGCTGCATCCAGCAAGGCACAGGGTGTGCTCACAGCCTCCTGCCTGTCCCATGCCCGAGGATGGCAGTGGTTTTCTAGGATCACCACCAGTCTTGGCAAGGGATCTTGGTGACCATTCACCCACTAAGGCTCCTTTCATATCCTCACTTCCAGTTTCTCTTGACACTTTCTCCCTCATGGCCCTGGGTGAATGCAGTGTGTTGGATTTCATAAACAGAACTCAACTTCTTTACATTTGTATGGCACATTAGGCTGATGAAGTTCGGAGAGACTGGACAGCTTGCTGAGGTCTCAGGGCTGGTCAGTACAGCAGCTGGGGCTAAAATGCAGTTTAATTCCACATCTCATGAGATTCTGTGGTCCAGCTGCCCAGCAATTTGCACTTCTCAGCTAAAAGTCTGACCCCTCCTACCCTTCCAACAAGTTGGAGTCTGGTCTGTATCCAGAGGCCCAAGGCCGGGGTGGATTTGGGGTCAGGATGACTGAGTGCCTAGTGTAGTCTGGCACAAAACTGGCCTCTGTGGAGACTGTCTGGCTGTGAGGGCCTCTGAAGGCTGTCCTGGCTCCTCCCTGGCAGCTCTTACCAACTCTGTCATTTTCCTTGTCACCCTCTGTCATCTCTTTCCTGTAGGCCTAGCCAGCATTTCCGCCAAGTCTCATCCCTTGCAAGGATAATGTTGTCAGTGAAGGATTGGATGCAAGGATTGAAGGGATCAAGTTAGCTCTTTTACTTCCACGTCTGTGGTCAGTATCCATCACCTAGTACCCAGAGTCTGAGGATTCACCCCTTCTGCCTCTCACACTTCTCTGGGCCATACTGAATCATGGTCCCTTGGAGTCTCAAAGCCACATGCCGATGAATCATGGAATATTCAGGCCTCTCCTGTCTAGGAGTCTTGCCCACAGTTGCTATGGAAAGGAAGCACCCTAGACCAGGGGTCAAAAGACTGGAACTCGAATTCTGCCTTGTGCGCCTAGTGAACTGGGGATAGTTATTTCACTTCTCTGAGTCTTTCACTCTCTGGCTTTGCAAAATGGCAATGACAATAATTTCCTGGTCAGGGCCCTGAGCAATTAAAAATGAGATAATGGATGAGAAAATATTATCTTAACTGAAACGAGCGGATGAAAGAAAGATACAGTGGTGAGATTTTTATGGTTGCTATTGAGGGTTGGTTCTCAGGAGGTCAAAGGGGAGGACCTAAGGCTGCAGAGGAGTGAGGCTAAGGGAGGGGAAACCCCTGCCCCAAAGTCAAGCTCCTGTTATGCTCCAAGTAGTTCATGCAAAGCTGCATCCTCAGTGGAATCACTTGACCCAACTTCACATGGCGAATCAGGCAGAATGATCTGATGGCTCCCTCCCTTCTTCCTGTGGAGGGGTGGCATCCCGCCTTCCATCCTCTCATCCCCAGCTTCGTGCCCACCTCCTGCCCACCAACTCACAGCGGCTGCCACTGCCAAATGAACACCCCAAATTGGAACATATGTCACTCCTGGAGCCCTGGTCACTTGTCCGCCACTACATGCCTATTTTCTAATTTCCAGCTGGCATTTCCCTTAGTGAAATAAATGAATTTGCTCCGGCGGAGGCCCTGCTCGGATTAAGCTGCTGTCAGAGCACCATGCACCAAACAAATTGTTGCCCGCAGCCCACCGTGCAGGATGCATTCCAGTGGGGGCTGGCAGGAGGAGCCTGAGCTTGTCGGGAAACCGGCTCAGTCATGCCAGCGGGCAGGCATGGACTGAATGAAGGGCAGGATTGGTGCCGAGAGCCTTGATGCCCGAGGAGTCAGGGAACAGGAAATCAAGCAAAACTCCACCTTCTGAAGGTGGAGGTGGGTAGGAGTGCCCTGGGAGGGTTTCTAGGACAGGTTGCTTGGCAGAAGGGGGTGATGGGAGATGGATTCTGGAAAAGCCCCAAAGAAGGAAGAGGAGTGTCTCCACCCTGAAGCATTAATAGGAAATAGGCCAGCTAGGGCCGACTTACTGCTCAGCGATGATGTATTCCCCTGGGAGGGGTGTGCAGGGCACACCAGCCACCTGCACATGGTGAGCGATCTCGGAGAAGTCCAGGCCCAAGTTCACGCCATGGATGGTCACTCGAGTTCCTCCTTCGGGTGGTCCTGATACTGTCAAAATCTGCAAGAGAGAATTGCCATTAGTCAACCTGGTCAGCCACAGGAATGGAGCAACAGCCTTTTTCCCCTCCCCTAGGCTGGTGGGGGTTGGTATGGTGCTTAAGGACTTTGAGAGACACTTGGACTCTGGGTGAACTTTGTATGTCTTCTACACTTTTAAGTTTATCTAGGATCCTGACATCATCTTCTGTTTTGCACTACTTCCTTGGTTAAGACATCCATTCATCCATTTATTAAAAAAAGTAAATCAGAAAGAATTTTGGGGCTGGGGATGTGGCTCAAGCAGTAGCGCGCTCGCCTGGCATGCGTGCCGCCCAGGTTCAATCCTCAGCACCACATACAAACAAAGATGTTGTGTCCACCAAATACTAAAAAATAAATATTAAAATTCTCTCTCTCTCTCTCTCTCTCTCTCTCACTCTCTTTTAAAAAAAATTAAAAAAAAAGAATTCTGGCTCAAGGCAGAAAAGAATTGTTTGAGATGTATCTCTAATGCACGAGTTGCCTGATTGTGATCAAGTCACATAATCTCTTGGAACTTCAATTCTTAGCTGCAAAGAGAGTTTTATCATGTCTACCAACCTTGCAGGGAGCTTGGGAACCCCCAACACAAGGTGTGCTGGGAGCATTTTATAAACCAGAAGGGTTTTGTGACTGTGACAGTGTTATTATTGCCATTCCTATGTGCTGGATCCTGTGGGGGGTACAATGATGAATACCACTGCAGATTTGCCCTCAAGAAACTTACAGTCGGGAGGATAAGATAACAAAGGCTCATAAATAACACTGATTCAGGGTCTATTGCGATAAGATAGAGAGAAAATGGGGTGGGAGCTCAGTGAGGGATGAGATTAGGTATGGCTGCAGGGGAACCATCAAAGACCTGGAGTGTGATTGCCATTATTCTGGGAAAAAAAAAATCCTATGACATATGTTAGATGTTAGGACCAAGAAGAAATAACTTTAGGGTTTTCCAAATCCTTGCTGTCTTCCTATTAGCAAAGGATCATTTATTTATTCATTTCCCAATTCAGTCACCAAATGCTGAATGTCTCATTTTGCTTTGACCCAATAGGAAAAGTAATGGCAGAATCCATTTCTCCCACAGGGTAAACTTCTGTCTGGGAAGAGATCAGGCTCTTGGAAAAATGCAGTTCTTTTGAGACCCATCAGATCCCAGTGAACAAATTCATGCTTTGTGGTCCAATGAGCCAGGCATGGTGGCATGCACCTGTAATCACAGTAGCTCAGGAGACTGAGGCAGGAAGATCACAAGTTCAAAGCCAGCCTCAGCAAAAGCAAGGTGCTAAACAACTCAATGAGACCCTATCTCTAAATAAAATACAAAATAGGTCTGGGGATGTGGCTCAGTGGTCAAGTGTCCCTGAGTTCCATCCCTGGTACCGCCTCCCCCCAAATTATCATATATTCTGACTCCTCCACTCTTCTCTGGTACAGACAGTTTCCTCAGGGGTCTGAGACTCCTGGGTCTTGGGGGATAGACCCTAGTCAACGAGAAACAGGGAGGGGGCTGCTTCAACTCTGTGCACAGCATCGGGAGAGAATTTGCTCTTAGCTCCTGGTTCTTTTTGATCCACTTGAACTGAGCTTCAGCAGCACCTCCATCTCCTCCCCCAGCCACCTGGATGACATGAACCCACCTACCCAAAGGAACTGACGAAAGTGTGGCAATTGGTTCCTCTCTCCTTCCCCCACTTTTATTTTTAAAAATACATTCTTTTGCTCACTGCAGTTAATTACAACCTTTCAAAAAAAAAAAAAAAAAACAACTGTGAAATGAAATCTTTCTGGAAAGCCTAAAAATATTTTCGTCTTGCAGGTAGCCTGTGGGAGATTACATTGTGGATTCGCAGTGGCACTGGCGGGTTGTACAGGACAGTGTCCTCTTCCTGGTAAGTTAGTGCAGTCTTTCCTTCCAGTATCCAAGGGTTATGGTCAGACACATGGTTTCTGGTGCTGAACTGCTGTAGGGTCAGTTTATTGGCACAGAAATGCTCGAAACACAAGTCACCATATATTGTTTAAAGGAAGAAGACTCCCAACCTCATTTGTAAATTATTAGCAGGTATTATGATCTTGGCATGAAGGTACATGTTATGGAGATGGGTAGTTCCAGCTCATCCTGCTGGATTTCAAACTAGGAGAAATATTATCCCCTGGAGTCATTATACTAGGTCCTCAAGGCTTGGAAAGTATCTGGGGAAGGTTGGGTCTTCATGAGAGTCTTCTTTCCATGCTATGTCCGATGCTGCCACCACGTGGGGTAGGTGACAAGGGAGTTTGAAGGCAGGGGAAGCCTCTAAACAGCTACCCTGCCACGAGGCTTAGAAGGGATGTGGAGCTTGCAATTTCTTTGCTTAAAGCAAAACCGGTGTGCAAAAATCTAGATTTCCAAAATTTAGATGAGGTGGTGATTATTTGATTTGCAAGAGGATTCCCAAGGTCTCCATTAGTGATGTCTTCCAAATCTATATGGTTGGCTCTGACCTCTCTCCTGAGCGTCAGTCATACATCCAATCACTTCTGGACATCTCTACTTTCATATGTATGTCCCTCAGGCACCTCAAATTTCACCGTGTCTAAAAATGAACTCTTAATTTTTCTTCTTCCCAACCCCAACCCAATTATCCTCCCAGATTCTCTTTCAAGGTTAATGGAATTACTGTGTACCCAGCCAGGAATCTTGTAAGCATCTTCAACTGTCCCTTTTCCTCACTTACCACATATACCAAATAAGGTCCCCTGGCCCCAAGGGTGCCTTTGGAATCTGTGTGTTCCACAGTAGGTGTTAAGCAGGGCTCCATGGTCTCTCACCCAATCTAACCACAGGGTCTCCATGCTTCTCCTTGTAAATCTCATTTCCTCTTGGTTGCCAGGAAGAAAATATACATACTTAATGAGGTGGCTAAGTGCTTGCTGTAAGAACCCTCCATGGCTCTGACCGCTGCCAAGGCAAAGTCCTTAATTTCCTGGCCTGGCCTTTGTGGGCCTTTGGGTTCTGGCATCCATCACTTCTTCAGCCACATCTTCCATTCTATAATACGTTCTCCATGTCCTGCCAGATACCAGTAGCTCCTGTACATACAATGCACTTAAAGTCTTCTGTGTGTTTGCACCTATTGTTTGCATTTTCCCAGCTCTATAATCAGAGAGGATCAAGGTAGAAGTCTATGCTCAGAGTGCACAGGAAGAGTGGAAGGCATCCTACAGAAAGTAGCTGCCCACCTAAGGCCTTCCAGGGGGCTGTGAATGAGGCAAAGGGCGATGTCTGTGTGGCAGCCTGGAGTGGCAAGAGCTTGGCATACTGCTATTCTCCGTTTTCCTCAGGATTGAATATCTAGAGCACGGCCATAAAGGAAAGCTGTGGTGGGAAAGGACTTCTCCAGAAAGGGAGTAAAGAGGACCCTTCAGGACACACCACCTCAGACCGGGCAGCTGCAGGGTCTCCAGCTCTTTCCACTGTGAGACTCTGCCCTGGGATTTTCTTTTAAAAGTAATATCAGATTGCAGGTCATGCTGGGCTGCATTTCACAAAATTTGGTTCTCTTGGAACCTGGCCTGGCCTTTCTGCATGGGTCTATAATGAAGAAAAAAGGTTGAGTCTCCAGCTATGACTCATAGAACTCCAGTGAAGGCCTTCCAGATATGAAAAGATCTGGAGAGCTGCAGCGAAGGGTGAGAGGTGAGGGCAGGAGGGATGGTGGAGTTATGTAGAGTCCCCCATCCACACAGAATAAGCTAAAATATGGCTGGGATGTCAGGCAGGCCCACGTGTCTTGGTTTCCAATTGCAGATGGCCCCTGTGCTGCTGGCTACTCTAGGGAGGGAAGAGAGACCATGTTCGGGTAGTGTATGCAGCAGGAAGGCTGGGACTTCTGCAGTCAGACAGACCTGAATGTGAATAGCAGCTCTGAAACTTAGGAGCTATGTGACCTTGAATCTAATGTCCTCATCTGGAAACAGATGATACTGCTTGCCTCACAGGGGTGGTGTGAGGATTAAGTGAGATAACATTTGGAAATTCCCTAGTATGTTGGTTTAGAGAGCAGGTCTTGATGATTGCTAATTTCCTCCTTGTATATCCCTGCACCTATGCCCCCGAAGACTAGCAAAACACTGGATGCTGGAGTTAGTGGGGAGCTTAGAGAGGATGAAGATCTTCCTATTGATCTGGAAAGAGAACACATGGTTCAGGGAGCTCATGGCAGAGATGCTGGGATGACCCAGGGTAACAAGCTCTGCTTACTTCTGATTGGAGAATGTCTGGGAGTTTCCTGCAGCTTAAGCTTGAGCAGGGAGGGGGTGAGGCCGAGGGCAAAGTCTTGGCTTCGCTGGTTCCGAGCCCCACGTGGAAGCTTATTCTAAGCCAGACATTACCCTTTCATGGACAATAAATTTGGAAGGACACTGACCCCATCCAAAATGGTATTCATTCTTTGCTCCCTTCCTTCTTGCCATTTCTTTTCCCCCTGGCCATTAACCATTGTGGGGTGTGCACAGTATTTCACAATGTAAGCAATGAGTTCTTTCAGGAAAGTGACTCTGAAGGAGGTACCCCAACCCCCCACACAAATGACTTAAGAGTGTGTGTGTGTGTGTGTGTGTGTGTGTGTGTGTGTTTAGTCAGGAGTAGTGGAGAGAGGGAAACAGGAGATGAAAGGAAGATCTTTAGTTATTGACTAATTTCAACCTCATGCTTGTCAACACATACTGTACTGAGCTCCATGTGGACCTCAGAAGTGAGATCTAGAAGTGGAGGCCTGGGGAGAGAAGAGCCCAGAAGCAGCTGCTGTGTCTGGGTTGGGTGAAGGTTGTTGTGGAGACTCTCCTCTAAGTTCTCTGTGCCCCTTCACTATCCACCCTTCAGACTTGGGGTGGGGGGAGTGTGCTCCCCAGACTCTGGCTCAGCCCTCTGATGTACTATGTGTGCTACTTGGAGACTTTAGTGGCCCCCAAAGCTACAGGCTGTGAAGCCCATGT